TGAGGAGGAGGAGGGAAGGGCACGGGGGGGGGGGGTAAACTAACCAGGGGGGGGGGGGTCACGTGACCTTGGGGGTCACGTGACCCCCAATGCCGATGATGTCATCACTGACGTCACTGATGACGTCATCCGTGACGATGACGATGCGGGTACCGATGACGTCATTAGTGACGTCACTGATGGCTTGACCAGTGATGATGACGATGACGATGCGAATGTCGGTGACGTCATCAGTGACGTCGCTGATGACGTCATCAGTGATGATGACGATGACGATGCGGATGCCGGTGACGACATCAGTGACGTCACTGATGACGTCATCAGTGATGATGACGATGACGATGCGGATGCCGGTGACGTCGTCAGTGATGATGACGATGACGATGTGGATGCCGGTGACGTCATCAGTGATGATGACGATGACAATGTGGATGCCGGTGACGTCATCAGTGATGATGACGATGACGATGTGGATGCCAGTGACATCAGTGATGACGACGATGACGATGGGGATGCCGGTGACGTCATCAGTGATGATGACGATGACGATGCGGATGCCGGTGACGTCATCAGTGATGATGACGATGACGATGTGGATGCCGGTGACGTCATCAGTGATTATGACGATGACGATGTGGATGCCGGTGACGTCATCAGTGATGATGACGATGACGATGGGGATGCCGGTGACGTCATCAGTGATGATGACGATGACGATGTGGATGCCGGTGACGTCATCAGTAATGATGACGATGACGATGCGGATGCCGGTGACGTCATCAGTGATGATGACGATGACGATGTGGATGCCGGTGACGTCATCAGTGATGATGACGATGACGATGTGGATGCTGGTGACGTCATCAGTGATGATGACGATGACGATGTGGATGCCGGTGACGTCATCAGTGACGATGACGTCATCGGGGGGTCACGCGACATCGGCGGGGGTCACGTGACCTCGGGGGGTCACGTGACCTCGGGGGGTCACGTGACCTCGAGGAGGGGGTCACGTGACCTTGAGGAGAGGGTCACGTGACCTCAGGGGAGTCACGTGACCTCGGGGGGGTCACGTGACCCCCCACGAGGTCACGTGACCCCGGTGGGGGGGCTCGCGCGGTGCATTATGGGACATTTCCCATGATGCACCGCGCGGTTACGCCGACGGCGACGCCGACGGCGACGGCGACGGCGACGCCGCTCAAGCCGGAAACGGGCACCTAAGAGCTGCGCTCTAAAAGGAATGCAAAAGTAACGTGCGTTACTTTTTATCGGTAACCGTAACGGTAACGCGTTCCTTTTATTTTGGGGTGATCATGAGACGTGCTTAGCATTTTGCCGCCCTAGCCAGCCTTTCGCAGCGCCATCCCCCCCCTCCCGCCCCACCACACACACAACCACCGCTCCCCATGTTCACTGATCACAGGGAGCTGGGGTGGGCGGTGAGGGTGAGGGGGGGGGGGGGGGGGTTGGCGGGGGGAAGCGAAGTTTGGAGCTACATTTGGAGCTAGAATTCCCAAAGTAGGAATACTTCATAGTTAGATAAAAAGAATAGCTAATTAATTTGGGGGCGGCCACAAATTGGCCGCCCCGAAAATTCTGCTCCTTAGGCAGCTGCCTTCTCTGCCCATTGGTAAGTCCGCCCCTGGAGGTAACGTAGGTCGGTAAGGAGTTCCTTTATTTTACAAGTAACGAGTAACGTAAGTACTATTTCGTTACTTTTTTTATATATAACGTTTACAAGATTGCGTAGAAGCACCGTAAGCCACATTCCCGTGGCATAGGCCGGGGAATGTTTTTAAAGGGCTCTCCCCCCCCCCCCTCAAATCGAAATCATAATTTTTTGTTTGTTATTTTTTTAGTAAACGAAGCGAAATATTGAGTGACTGCCGAATTGTTCCAGCCAACCGGGGGGGGGGGGGGGGGGGGGGGGGGGGGGGAGGAGGGAGGGAGGGAGGACAGCCGTGTCTTTGTACAGTACATCGACAGTGAACATGGGGCAAAGTCACCCCCTTCCGCCACACCGGTCATGGAACTAAACCCCCCCCCCCCGAAAATAATTCCTGGCTACGCAACTGCTACATTTCATGGAGCCCCTCACCCCCCCCCCCCCCCCCCCCCCGTCTTTCTTCGTAGTTAACGACACACCGTTTTATCCTACAGATTTGTAAGGCGAATTTTAATAAATATACATTGATTTTTCAGCATAAAACGCTTAGAAACAGTGTTTTCAGCGCAGTGTACTGTTTCTGGAAAGTATGCAGTTTGAGGGTTAGAATCTCATGAGACGTTCTCATTAAATAGTATAGCAAAGCTTAACATATGTGCGTAAGTTACTAATTTAATTTGCTATTTCAAATGAACTGTTCTTGTTTTTTGGTAAATTACTAAGTTTGCGACTTCATCTATAAAAAAGAAAAGGTGTTATTTTTGTTTCTGAGAGCACAAATTGCAATCGTTAGCCAAGAAGAGGAAGTTGATGTAATCTGCAGCAAACAAAGAACGCTGTGTTCGTATTATTTTTGACAATGTTTTATATAAATGTGTAAAATCAATGGGTTTAATTATGCTTCCCACTTCTTAGTGAACGGTCGGTATTTAAGAAGCTGAACCATGTTATGAATTATTTTTGATTGTTTACGAAATTCATGTTAACAGCTGTTTAAATTAATTAATCCACGAAACCAGTCAAACTTTTTCTTATTGAGTAAATTGGTATAATTACTAGAATCGAACCTTCAGAGAAATTAACAGAAGTGCAAAACACTTCCGTACAAATAATTATAAAAAGAACCCCGCCCCCCCCCCCACCCCCCCCCGCCCCCCCTTTTCTTTTTCTTTTTCAGCGATTATATAAGCTGCAGTTGTTGTAGACAGTTTCTTTCACGTCTTTATTTCAACATCTGGCGTTCCTCGGGGTTCGGTTCTGGGCCCTCTTTTATTTTTATCTATTACAAATAGTCTCGTGTGTTGAAAGTTCTTAGTTGCTATTTCTTAACAATGATATTAAGCTGTGTAAAGAATTCAGTCCCAAGATGCGTGCTATATATTACAATGCAATAGGTCAAGTATGCTTCTATGGTGAAAACAGAACCCGTTGCCGCTGAACCTTACAAAAACAAAAGTGCGTTCGTTGTGCCGATGTCATACTGTTGTTGACTACACATATAACCTTAAGGAAATGGCAGCGCGTCTCTCTTGTGAAAAATCTTGGCGTGTGTTTAGATAGTGCCTTAACATTTAAAAATCATATATATTTTATTGTGTGTAGCGCCATGAGAATATTGGTAGTTGTTTCACGCTTGTCTTTAAACTTTAGGAACCCTTATAGCTCGATTCATCTTTTCAACTCTTTAGTAGGGTCACAACCTGAATTTACGTCCGCGGTATGGAATTCGCTATCATAAACACAGGCCATAAATGTTAAACACGTTAAAAAAAATATGTGTAGTTTATTAAAGCTATTTAGAACGGCGTATGTATTATGGCTATGGCTATCTGCTAAAAATATTCTTTCACTTTAGTGCAAGAGAAGGGAGGCTCGTGAGTTAGGTTTTCTACATAAGATCACAGATAGAGTGCCATTAACTCGGCTCAGTTCCTACGCAAAAGTTAAATTTCATGTAAATTTTCGCTCTGCCAGACATTATTACAAATATATTTTAATGTTAGCTCACCATGCAACATTTCACTCCTTTCAGGTGAAGAACGAAGTGGAAGCTCCCCCCACCTCTTTCCACTTTAGTAGTGCGTGCGAACGCTGGAGCGCATGCAACCTCCTTTCCACCGTTCGCTCCGCTGAAGTGGAAAGGGGTGGGAGGAGCTTCCACTTTGTTCTTGACCTGTCATTGACTACAGTCGCTTTATAAGTGTCGCCACTCCGAATCTCGACATCTGTGCATCGGCTTCTCAGTTCCACCACCTGTGAGTAATTGGCTCATTACTAATTTATATATTTTGTTTTTGATACTATATACTTGTAGTAGCGTGTTTTGAGTGTGATCCTGTATATTAGGGCAAAATAGCCTTATGTGTTCGATTACGCGAAAAGGCGTCGGCGTTGTGCCCGAAAGATGGCCATAAAAATACGTCATCAAGCACTCGCCTCTCAAGGTCAAAGCGGACGCGCCTCAGAAATAAAACGCAAAGAAAAGCACAGCAACGCAGGTGCTTCGTCACGGAAGCTGTGAAGCCGGCGGGGGCGCCGCGCCTGCGCAGTGGGGAGCATGATGTCACCGCCGGAGTGCCGTGTACAAAAGGTACGCTTCGGACTACTTCTATGCTCGCTGTGTGCTTCGCGCGATGGACTGTGGGGCGATCGTGCGGGACTATAATGCTTTCTCGAAGTGTACTCCTAGATTTTATTTTTTCTTGCTTAAAGTTTTTTTCGTGGAAGTGCACCAATCTGAAGACTAGTGTGGTCGTTTTTGGACGCTTTATATAAAGAATATTATTATTGTAAAGCAAGTGAGAAACAGCGAGGAAATACGGCAGAGGACTAGAGTCTGTTCAAGCGAGACAGACGAGTCTTCCGGTGGAAGGCGTGCGAGTCAGATGGATGCTCTTGGTTCAAACCATAAACGATTGACAGTGAGAAAGAGAGCGGAACATATTCAATAAAACAGGAAGAGGGCGAGACACACTTTTATTTCGGAAACGTTTCCCAGACCTTTCTGCGATTGGAGTGGATGCCGGCGGGCAGAAAGTAAATACAGTAAATTAATTCTAAAACGAACGAGCAGGAAGCGGTGCTAACACCACGGAACGAGAGCGGAGATGTGCTACATTCCGAACAGGGAAGTTTTCTCCGATGTCCTGCTTGTTTTCGCGTATGCCGCCCCTTCATCCTCGATTGCTGCTCGACCGCGCTCCTCCTTTTCCGCCTTCCCCTAGCGGCCGTCTCCCGCACTGTTCCACTGCTTCCAGTCGATGAGGGCAATGAGGGTGTGCCGGCGCACTTCCCTTTCCCTACCAGCTGCGGCAGCCAGCAGAAAGCTGAGCAAGCCAGCACATGCGCGAACAACTTCGGAGAGAGCGAAGCGACGGCGGCCGGAGCGGATACTACATTGTCGTTCACCGCGGGAGTCCTTCAACTTTTTCGTGTGGAGCCGTCGGACGCGGTACGCTTGTGCTGGCGAGTCCAACAACAGGCTCTCCAGAATCGTCCCTGTGTGGATAATTCCGACTTCCAAATGACGTGCCCACTGGATTACAGCGACGAACTCGACAAGTTGATCTCACGGATACGTCCCTGAAGTTTCCTCGCTCGCGCTACAAGGGAGACGACGTGAACTCGCCGGACTTTTGTTTCGGAGACAGACGAGTGAGTATGCGGACGGATAACACGCCTTGGAACGAATTGCGATTGCCGTGGCCGCGGTTCAGGAATCGTTCCTCTTTGTTGGGACGGTCGCTCGTCCTGCTACATCCCGTTTGATTCCGTTTCAACTTGGAGTAGCGTGTGCTGCCTGAGGTATCATTGGGGGTGAAAGTTGGTGAACGGATGCTGCTCCGGAGGGGAGCAAAAGCGCGTGGCTGGCCAGCCGCCGCTCCGCCGGAGGCCGGCGGCTTCTAAAATTAGGCACGTATTTCTGATGCGGAACTTCGTCGGGCGTGTTCGTAATCTTCGGTGGCCGCACGGACGTCCCAAAAATAAGCACACTCTACGGGACACTTTTTTTCTTGTTAATTACTTTTGAGCAATTGAGTAAGCTTTGCCTGACAGCTGATCTTCAGCGTGTTTAACGTATGGAGGTAGTTGGTACTCGTCAGTCAACCTGACGGGAGCGAACAGTTGGTAGTCAAACGACGTTTTTCATCCATATGCCGTTGCCACTAAATTATTGGAAGAATTTTTTTTTTTACTTCTGCGTGCTTCTCTCATTGGTGTCATTTAAATACAGAAAGTACCAATAAAAAGTACTTGGTGACGGTCTGTCATTGAACACCGTTGAGGAAAGCGCGCTAGCCGTGTTTGTTTCATAGCTTTATCTCTGACACTGTTATCTGCTCGAAGTGCCATGGTGAGCTGTCAGTCTCGCGTAGCACCTTTCCACTTTTTTTCTCCTTTCCGTCCGAAGCATAAGCCATTTATTTACCCGTGCGCTTTGCGACGCCCTACCGCCCTCACTTACATCAGTTTTAATTGACACTGTGTCGGTTATTCTTTCTCAACAATTATTTTCAGGGACTTCTCACGTGTTTGTAGACATATATGCCCTACTCAATATTTCCTGAGTGGAAATCGGTGAAATTGAGCTTGTTCGCTTGGTGAGTTGAGAGCCCCTGCCCGGTATGCAAATTACTGCGCCGTCGCGGTTGTGTTCCGCATGCGTGCATGCTGCCACAATCGTATCCCCCCTCCCCCCCGCCCCACACGCACACACACACCTTTCATTATGTATACAAGAGACGACGCCAGCGCTCAAGGAAACCGAGATCAAAGACCGGATAGGCAGCTGCCCCAGTTCTAGTGTCCGTGAGGTGGACTGGCATGTTTTCTTTCTCTTTGTGGGGAAAGCAATCAACAAGGTTGTGGGCGAAATTGGTAGACGTCCCATTAACATTCATCAAGTATTAATACTTCGTCATTACGCACCGTTATGCAAGGTGGCACAGAAATATTTAGCAGTTTCTTCAGAGTTACATAAAGGAAATGTATGTCTCCAGAACCCCTCCTTAACAACAACTTTTAATTGAAACAATGAGTGTTTCATTGCATTTGATGTGGTTCCCTCACTGCAGCTGACAATTTAAGTATACCAGCTCCTGAAGCATTTTGGTGCAAGCCTCCCAACCTTGTTTTTCATGACAATATTGAGTTCATGAGCAATTTGATTTTAATGAAGCGCAAGCTTGTGAAGGCCTTTTGGTAATATACAATCCAATTAGCATCCATTTGCCTTATAAATTGTCAAACAGCATTCCTAGGTAGCCATCCTCTCCCACACTGTGTGTTGTTATGAATAGTGAATTACTTGAAGTGTTCTATTGTCTGAACTTGGAGATTTTGATGCGTTCACTGAAATAGTTCTGCCAAGCTTGAGTGGCATCCCAGGATGACCTTGAAACACTGCACTGACTCCCACGGGGCATGTATTCTTTTCAGCATACTGCCAATGGGTTTTGCCACAGAGCTGCAGGGCTGGAGCTCGCATGATGCCTTGCTGTCGGTACAGGATGCAGAGCTTCGTCTGCTGGAAAACATGCGCCGGTGTATTGTGAATAGGGTCAAGTGCGATCGAGAGTACTCCATTTCCCTGAACTCTCTATGCATCCAGGCTGCTAAAGTGGACACTGGAGATGAGCTCTCGGGAAGCCTGATTGCAAAGGTGATACTTTGCTCCCCATCAACCGATGAAAAATTTTCCTGATTTTTTCATTTGCTGTTGCTTGTTGGATGGTGACTCACGAGGACTTGTGCATGTTGATCACATACGCTTCGGGTTTTGGGCTTTGTCTTTTAGCTATGTTCCTTTCCAAAGTTTAATTTAGTTATCCAACTGGTTTAAAAGGCCATGATGTTACCGAATGATAGGTCAGCATTGGAGCTTGATCATGACATACTTTTAATTAAAAATATTCCTTCGTGTGCCTGCTTGTAGACTGAAGAGTATTAGGTCATATTCCTGAAAATAGCACATTCTAAGGTAGATTCAAATTTGGAAAATGATTCCAGAGAGATACAGGCTCCTACTAAAGAAATCAATCACACCTAGATTGAAGTAAGGTGAAATTTATTATACCTTTTTTTTTTTTAAGTTTTTGCCATTCTGCAACGAGGTTAAATATGGAAGTGCACTTCTCTTGAAATTGTTTTTTTTCAGTAATATGCCTGTCTTTCTTTCAACCATTTACTTGATATGAGGGTGCTGATTGTGCATCAAAATGGTTTTGCATGAAGCACCAATAGAGAAGCAATAGCAGGAAATGTCTATGGCATGTTATATCTGTTAAAATAGTGGTGCCCAATATGGAAATCTCACCTTGCTGCTTTTTATCCTCACACATATGTGAAATTGTCTCATATTTACAACGCTTTTTTTAACAAGGGATCAAGCTTCCAAAAGCTGAGTAGCTACAGTGTGGAACTCATGTTTTATTGATGGCTTTATTTATTTATTTATCTGGGATTACCCATGGTGCCAGATGCATTAAAATAGGAACACTTAATCTTCCTATACACAACTATACAAAAAAACAAAAAGCATTGCACATGCCAGATTATTTTATATATACAAAAAAAAAAAAAAAAAAAAGGGGTAGCTGTTTGCTGTTCCAAGCAGCTGCATCAGAAAAGGTTATACAAGAAGTAATAGACAAATCAAGAACTGAACAGCACAAGAATGTTGCTAGGTTAAGATCTTTTATAGTCGAAAAAAAGAAATAGACATTTGCACAAACTATTTTCTTAATTGTGACAGCCGCCGCAATTACTACTTGACAGTTTTCTGAAGCACGTTAGTTGTTAAAGGTGATTGCATCTATGTTTTGAACTTCTATCCCTTACAGTTTGGTGAGACTACAATAAAATGACTTAGACAGACTTTCTATGCAATCATATCAAGATTTTAATTCTCAAAAACCCGTTATAAAAAGTAGCTGTTCTGCTGCTGATTTCAGCTATATGTTCTGAGAATAAATAAGACAGCTAAAAACAAAAAGGACACAAGGACAAATTGAAGAAATGTACAAACACAGCTTTGTTGACAAAGGGGAAATGTCTGAAATAAACAATAAAGTCAGAGCAATTTCTCTCTTGAAGCGTAATAATACACACTGACACCAAACGGTCTCAGATTTCCATGTTTTCTATGAAGAGACACCCTAGATGTCTGGAAAATCTCAGCTACTGAGAATGCTTCTTTCAGTAGGGTCTGCTTCTATTTTTTTCTCCTTGGGTAGTTTATTTAAGAAGACCTGGGAAAGCAACGGGAGAAGATGACTGATTGGAAGCTTTGATCTTGTCTTTGCCTTCAAAGGGTAGCTTAGGCACATATCTGTGAGGGTAATATACCTTTTATATGTAACCGAAGTATTATTTTATTTTGTTTTGGAGCACATTTATGTGATGTCCTGGTTTTCTCTGCATGGTTTCTAGCACTAGCAAGCTAAAATATTTAATCTGTCATGGTTTTCAGCACTGTTGGGCAAATTTCACTAGAAAAGTACTAAAGAGAGCTAGAGGTTCTTGAAAAAAAAAGAGTTAGAAGTGAATTCTAGTGTATTTGTGCCCGTAAACCCGAACACCCAAGCCATTTGCTGCGCAAGTATTGTTAATTGTACTTGAATTAAAGTCACAACTGCAATAGATGAAATACATACAGAATGTTGAAAATCAAACAGTGCATTTTCAAAGTAAAGTAATAATACTTTTATGACTGGATCTTTCTGATTTCGTTTCTCCAAAATGTTTGAAACATATCTAATTCAAGTAAAATTTATTCTCTTCTTTGTGGGTACATGCTCCCAATATGCATTCAATCTAAAGAATGTTTGTGAAATCTAGTCGAAGCACACAAAAACTTCCAAAATGGTTCTCAATGTGAATGGTTGGGCATGTTGGCGTCTAAATTACAATAACGAAAAAACCAACCAGCCCAGCTTAAGCCGGTGTCAATGAAAGAAGGACAAGGAAGACAGGCACAAGTGAAAGCCTGTGTCGCCTTTCTTCCATGTCCTTCTTTCGTTATTGTAATGGTTCTCAATATTGATCTTTTAGAAATATGGATGGAATATATTGAAGTATTCTAATTAATAAAATACAATCTTGAAACCTCATGTCATTGCCTTTGTCAGCAAATCATGCATATTTTTCTTACTTTTTTTGCAAGAACTATTTCTTGTACGGCTTTCTTTCAAAAGAAATGCTTATCTGTCTTTGTAGGCCTGGAACACCATCATTGACACCACAGAAACCGTGGGAAGGCTTGTGAAGCAGAATGCAGACCTAATTGCCACTCACACACTTGACAAGCTGAGCTGTCTCATCCTGGAAAAGAGAGCACTCAGAAAGATATACCTCGAGGAGCACCAAAGAATTCATGGCGAGCTGGCAAGGGTAGGGAAATCACTACTTTCACCAAGTGTTTACTGGTTCATAAACCTAATACGTGTAGTGAAATCCCTGTACTTTTAAGTTCTCGGTTAAGCTGTGAGCACCCTTAATTTTTAATGAAAGGTAAAGGAGGAGTATGTAACACAAAGAAACAGTAAAATGTATACTCTCGTAGCAAATTTTGGAATTTGTGAAGTCTGCAAAACTGAAGAAAATTTGAGAAATCACAAAACTCTCTCCCATCATAAGAGATCACAAGAGGTTTTACCACACTTGGTCGTAAGCAGTCGCAAGTGTGTGAACCAGCCTTAACTTTAGTGTAACATCACCATTTGCAAAAAAAGCATTCACAAAGATTTTTTTTTTCTTATTTCATATTGTTTGTTTCAGACGTTTATCACCATTTTTCTTGTTGGAGTCAAAAAAATAAAGTTACGCCCCATTTGAGTTATGTGATATTTTTTTACATTTTTAAGCATTTTGCAATTTTTTTTCTTTTTCCCTCTACTTTCAGCTCAGGGATGCTGTTCTGAAAAGCACTTCAGAATATGAGAAATGCATAGAGAATGCTACTGCTGCCAAAGAAAAATATGAAGACCAGTTCATGAAAGGTAGCTTGAATGCATTAATAAACAGCAGTTAGTCAACTTTTCCTCATTGGCATCCTTTGTAAGTAATCAGTTGGAGTTATTTAAGTTCTAAACACATATTCCTAACTGCAGGCAGAGGAAACAGAAAAGTGGAGGAAGCCAAGGAGCGCTACTTGAAGGCTAGCAGGAAACTGCACCAAACTCACAACGACTACATCCTTCTGCTCAATGAGGCCATGAACTACGAGCATCACCTGAGGACAACACTTCTGCCAGGTCTACTGCAGTACCAACAGACTGTGCAACAGGAAGCCATCGACTGCTGGTACCCGAAGGATCTGCCTATAATTTGGATATATGTGAAGGATTGGCCTGTTGCTGCCCCTTTAGCGTTAAAACCAGTTACCATATCTTTTAATGTATAAGTCACATTTTTTTTACAAAATTTTTGTTGGTGAAATTATACAATGTTGCAACCTATATGCAGATTTTTCTATGAGTATGAACCTTAGCTGCACAAATTTGCCTCAGAGGGTTATATTTTTCATTTGATTTGTCTATGAGATATTGAAACTAGTCTCCGTTTATGCATGTATTGGGATCACAATATATATTATATAGCGCAGGATATTCAGTGCTTTTAAACGGCCAGTAAACGGCCATAAAAAATGCAACGGTCTGTCTGCGTCATAAAATATATATGTGGGCTTGTCAGTGCACTTTTGCCACGGCTGCATTGCAAGCCTGTAAGTGTGACTTGTACAAAGGTGTAGCTTATATACGAGCTTTTTTTCTGAAAATGACCGTTTATACGGGCTGCGATTTATACGACACACTGGAAAATACATTAATCTGGAAACAGTAGGTCGTGATTTAGTTCTTTGGAACTTTCATAAAGTAAGAATCATGTTTGATGATCCCTCAGCATGTTCCGAGAATAGTTCATTCTTTGTGGGCATCTCCTTTTTTTAATCTTTAATTTTGCTGCAGATTCTCCAAGAAAACAAAAAATGTAGGCTGCCTATGGACAATACTTATAATCCCTTTTTCAGAAATTTCTTGTGTATTAGAAATTATGTCTCAATGCATATGGTATTGTACCATGTTTAATGCACCCTGTTATGTTAAAGCTTGTTGTGAACACAGTATCTCATGTCTTTTCTGAGAATAATTGTCTGGTTTTTGTTACTCTTGCTGCTTGGGTCCGTGCAGAAATGAGTAGGTGGCTCTTTCTTTTTGTTTCAAATCTTACATTATATCCGTGACAAAAAAAAAGTTTTAATATCAAAAGATGACTAGAACATGTTTGAGTCGCATAATTCTTTTCTTTCTTTTTTGCATGTAGGCAAGCAGTGATGAGAGACTACTCGCGCCACACAGACTTCTGTTCCGAAGCCTTTCAGTCCGTCCACAAAAAGCTGAATGAAAGCATTGACTTCATCAAGAGTGAAAGCGAGTATCAAGACTTCATCGAGAAATACAAGTCAGTGCTTGAAATTTTTAACTTGAAATGACTGAATATTGTAAAATGAAGAAGTTGAAAGTAGTGAGATTATTTTTGGTCATATAGTCTGTTTTGACACTGACAGTATATGTAGGGATGCCTGTATTCCATTTTATTAGCATCAAGGTGCCTTTTCTCTTTTCTAAACCTCTGAGCAGTAATATTCACCATGTGCCACAGCACCAGAGCTAGGCAGTGATATAAACATAAAACAAGTGTGCTACCTGCTTGCTAAAAACTTTTAGTGGTTGCTTAGAGGAAGAAGTGTTAACATATTGTAGGGGATATAAACTGGGACAACACAGTTGAAGTTGCGCTCTTTGTGTTGTGCTTCCTGTGCACTTCTTTCACTCACTACTTCTAACCCAGCACTTTGCAAACCTGTTATGTGACTTGAATTCCGACTTACCTCAAGCAGATAATGATGCTCGCCCTTATGAATGCGTTTTGTAAATTGGCAGATCGAAACCAATACCACCCATTGACTTTCACTATGATGAGTCGCTGCTCAACAACTACGTGGGAAAATTGAAACCAGAGCAAATAGCTGTTGATGAGTTCACCATTGATGCCCTAAGAGAGAGGTGAGTTGACATGCAGTTTGGTGAAAAATAGACCGCCCTAAACTGCTGTACCAATTTGCTTGCTGATTCCTTGCATTCAATGCTTTTGTGTGTGCCTTTGTTACAGAATTAGTGACTTACAGACGAGGCTAGTCCAAGCACAGGCTGCTATTTTGGAGAAAGAAACGCAGCTGGCTCAGTTTCAAGTCGAAGTTTCTGAAATCAAAACAACTCCAGACCTTGGATCTGCGTAAGTACTGGCTTGCTTCTGACATTGCAGTTACTATCAAGGGTTTACATGTTTTTCTCATGACACTGAATACCGATAGACCTTCATACAATGTTAACTGCCAGATGAGTATGTCATGCTGCTCTGAATAGTATCATTGGGACAGGATACCTCAAAGTCAAGCTTTGTGTGAGTATACGGATACCTATTTTGTGTAATAATTTTTTTCTTTTTTTAATTTTTACATGTGTAATTAAACTGGACAAGAGATAAATGAAAGAAGTAGTTTTTCTTTCCTTGACCATAAAAGCCACCAACAGACTAAAGGCTGTTGTAGGCTTTTTACGGTTGAATTCGCGACTTTAGCAAAATGGACGGCACCTAGCAGGAAAACACGGAAATTACCGGCACAGATCCTTTTGCGATTTCTGCTAGTTTCTTGTGGCTTTCGTGATTATATTTTGTTGGTGGTCTGCGTGATAGAACAGTTGTCTCGGTGACTCTGTCGTAACTGTATATCAGCGTGCTACCCAGGTTGCTCTGAACGCGACCTAAGCAACCGCGTGAACCAGACGTTCCTCATTTATCAACGTTCAACAGCACAGTCGAAGGACAGTAGGCAGTTCTTTCATCATTTCCTCGAAGGAAGTCAAGCCTCTGGAAGCTCGCTTATGCCAACACATCGCCGCAGGTTCGAAACGTGGAGTATAAAAAGCGGAGCAGACCATTTTGAGTCCAATGCTTGCTTGCTGATGCCCCAGCGTTGTGCGTCGATCTGGCACATGGCATGGCACAACCTGTTTTAGACCGCCATATTTGCCCGATAGTGGCATCCCCTAAAAGTTGCTGGAGTTCCGAATTCTCCACTGGCTAAACTATAACTGCATTTCTTGGTGTGTTTATCTCCGACTATTCCTTTTTTGGACCCACTCTGTCTAGAATCAGTTTGTATACATCTGTTTATCTCTTATGTCGTTTTGAACTCCATGCAAATTAAACATGACATTGACTTCTGCTAACTGCTAGCTGTCACATATATAGAGTACTGTAGGGCACGAATGAAATGCAAATGGTGGAGCATGTGGCCTTCAATACATGCGCTACCTGGAGACCATTGGGAACCGGTGAAACTGTGGAATGGAAGGGGAGCTGCGAGAATGTGCACTTAATTCCAACACGCACACCTTCGCAGCCCCTTCTACTTTGTGCAGTTTTATGAGTTCCCAGGGGCCTCCAGCTAGTGCAGCATTTATTGAAGGCCATAGGCACTACCGTTAATATTTCATCCATGCCCAATAGTACATCCATGGTACGCACTGTTTATTTTTTTTTTTCAATATTAGAGTACTAACCTACCTGATATGACCTCAGGGCCATGGTAAAGAAAAGGGCAGTGGACATCATCAGGCGAGAGCGAGATGAGATCAAGTGCCAGGAAGAGCGGATCAACAGTCAGCTGCAATTGCTGGTGCAGCCCCTGTCATCGATCGGTAGCGAAGTGCCCAGGGGCCTTGACCTTGACATCACTGTCAATGGCGAACAGGTGGGTCCCTTCTGTGGACTTTTTAGAGTGCAGCTCTTAGGTGCCCGTTTCCGGCTTGAGCGGCGTCGGCGCAACCGCACGGTCATTATCAGTACATTTCTCCGCTAAATTTAGCAGAAAATTTTCCCCACTAAATGTAGCGGAAAAAGTTTCCCCGCTGAATCTAGCGGAAAAATTTTCCACTAAATTTAGCGGATAAATTTTCCCGCTAAATTTAGCAGAAAAATTTTCACGCTAAATTTAGCAGAAAAATTTCCTCGTTAAATCTAGCGGAACAATTTCCCCGCTAAATCTAGTGGAAAAAATTTCCCTGCTAAATTTAGCAGGAAAATTTCCCCGCTAGATCTAAGGAAAAACTTCCCCGCTAAATCTAGCGGAAAAAATTTGCCCGCTAAATCTAGCGGAAAAAATTTCCCTGCTAAATTTAGCGGAAAAATTTCCCTGCTAGATGTAGGGAAAAACCTCTCCGCTAAATTTAGCGGAAGAATTTCCCCGCTAAATTTAGCGGACAAATTTCCCCGCTAAATCTAGCGGAAAAAATGCCCCCGCTAAATCTAGCGTAAAAATTTCCCCGCTAGATCTAGCAAAAGAATTTCCCCGCTAAATTTAGCGGAAAATTTTCCCCTAAATGGGAGGCGATCAGGAGAGAAGGAGGTGCATAGCCTCCTCTCCGTACCTTCCCCTCCTCCTCCTCAAGAGCTGCGCTCTTATTCGGCGTTACAGGGAGTTGTAAGCGGCTTTCATTTATTTCCTGGTCACAACTTTGCATGAAAGAATTCAGAAAAAACTAAACATATTTTTGGAATAGAATGCCAGAAAAATGCCCAGTAAATAATGGGCTTCTGAGCTTTGGAGTGTTCGATTTGGGAAGGGGGGGGGGGTGTTGCAGACTTTCGGGGCTACTTGAATGTGAGGGTTAGGCTGTCTTACAAGCTGCAGTTATTGAATGCCTTGTTTGTGAAAGAAAGGAGATATATCAGTTATGAGAACATGCTTGAATGGTAAGCATTCTTTGATGTAGCTTATGTTGCAAAGGTTTTCTGCTGGACATCCCAAAGGAGGTTACTCCTGTTTGACTGTCCAGTCAATAAACTAACAATAATCAATAAACCCTGAGTCCGGTGACTACCACTTGGGTAGTTAAAATACTTAATAGAGCTTTTTAGATCAACCTCAGTCATTTCTATAAATCGTCTTTCCGAATTTTCGGTTAAAACAAGAATTTTAATGTAATCACAAGTCCTAATTTAGTGGATTTGTTTTACTAAAATTTTAATATTCAACATTACCGAAGTCAAAACATTGCAACTTGAATATGTTTCCTTGCAATATTTACTGGAGGCTGAAAGGCTTCTTGTTTCAGTCGGACACCTTTCTTTGGAAACCCATTATCATAACCTCACCACAGGTAAAGCAATTAAAAGTCAGTTCAGTAGAGGAAAAATTTTGATTGCAAATATATATTTTGATTTTAGCAATATGACTTTTTTATTTTTTGTTTGGCAATAAACAAATTTGTTTGAGGGTGCTCTCCCCTCCATTAATTCAGTCAATCATTCAATTTAAGAAATTGGAGTCTTATTATTGTGTGCTTTCTTGGCACACAATGAAGTAGTTTTTCTCTCCTGTGGGTCGTTTAACATTTCCTGGGCATTGTTTGCATCTTTTATATTTTTGTTAATATTTTTAGTAAACAATATTTTACTGACTAGTAAAACTTTCGTCCTAAGAAGTGTTTTTCTCATACGCAGGTTAAGGATGATGAGATTATGGACTTTACAACAATCAGCAAAATAGCAGCTCGGCATTTTGTGGACAGACTCAAAAGCCCATTTCTGAAGAAACAGGTAAGATTTATGAGTACCCATTATTTTAGGTTTTCCTGCTGTGTCAGTATCTGTGCACGAAAAATTAAGTACCAGAAGCATGTATGACAAAACGTATAATGGGTTCTCTGACATGTAAGAAAGGTGGCTACATTACGCCCTCAGGAGATATCAATGTGCAAACATTGAAAGTCATGACCTCGAAGATTCCCTGTGTACAAAGCATGAGCCAGTCCTTTCTTTTGTGTGTGTGTGCTCACCTGTTCTAGCTCCGGCAATCTTAGAAGTCATGACCGAATTCAACCACACTAAATTCTGCCAGATTTGACCATCTTTCCGACATGTTGTATGGCTCATCGGACGTTCGTCGTACATGAGTCTCGTGTTTTACTGATGCACTCTGAGCAACAATTGTCATAGTGCTTATAGTTAGTTTCAATATAAGGCCATGCTAAGAATTCGTTTTGTAGTTTGATGATATGTTTTACGTATACAGCATGTTGAAAATGTGAATGTATAGTGAAATTTGCTCTGCATGTTTCCATAGTTGAGTGTGTTTGTGGCAGGCCATACCAACTCCACAGCCCAAGGACTTTGAGGAATGTGTCAACTCCAATAACTTCTTTGAGGAGACTAACAGCACCCACCACCAAGCTTACAGTCGTGTAAGTTTTTGAGAAGGATTTCTTAATCTGCTGTCTGCTTCCTAAGGGCTCAGTAGATGGAGATCTACTTTTCAATTTGAAGTGCATATATTAGGTGTGCATCATTGATGTAACATGCATAAATAGAAACTGCTAAGGTCATCAGTATGGAGCTGTAAAGTCAAAGATATATTTACTAAGCATTAAAGGAGTTTGGTAATCTCGCATTAGTTTTAAAAAGGGCTGTAGTAAATTTATTTCTGTACTGCTTCCATGATCCCAACATTAAAACCTATTACCAAGAATTTGAGTTCCATACACTTGAAACTGGTAACTAACAATTTTTTTCTTCAGCCTATGGAATTTTATGTCAGAACCAATCATTATTTCTAGCTTGACTTTGGTAAGTTGATATAGCAAATATAATTCTTAATTGAACAGCTTTTCTGGGAGCATTTGCAAACTCTCTCCAAAAATAATGTGCAGTTTCTGCCCACTTCTGTTGTGCAATGGGTCTCAGATTTCAAGACGCCGCACGCCATAATGAAATAAACACATATATTTAATCTTTCTTGTAGAACTGACCAAGGTTTAATCTTTAAATCATTGAGCTTTTAGCTTCAAAAGGTATGACAGAGCCTTTCGTACCATACTGTATGTTTTTTGCTTTGTCACAGATTCCTTGATAGTTCTAGCTCAGCTGTGCATGACATATATTTGTAGACATCCTGGGCTCATGTGCACCGGTGTACCGCCAAGGCAATGTACTTGTGCCATGCATGGAGCCGTCAAGGGGGTTCTTCCTTCATCCTTTAACATGTCAGTGCCCAGGAATGATAAGCTTGCCATTCCAGAAATTTATCCAACAGCCTGCAATAGTGGTTGAAAAAAAAAAAAAAAAAAAGCATGATAGATTTTAGCATTTTCTTTGGCTATAAGACATTACAAGACCAGACAACAGCATTTTTGTGCATTTTGCTGCATGGAAGGAAACTATTTGGTTTATTTCCAATGATGTATTTTGCTTACATGTTACCATGTTGAAAAAAAAAGTTATTGAGTTTGTAAAGTGATTAGAACTTTTGCATCTACCTTTACCTCTACATTTCATTAAGGAAAATAAGTTTTGATTAGCAATATTCCGAGCATGTTTGCCTCTGCAGATGTCTGTGAATCCCAACGTGGTGCTGCAAGACGAAGACTGGTTTCACGGAGTCCTTCCCAGGGAGGAGGTGGTTCGCCTGCTCGTCAACAACGGGGACTACCTGGTCCGAGAGACCATGCGTAATGAGGAGAAGCAAGTTGTGCTTTCTGTCTGTTGGCAGGGCCACAAGCATTTCATTGTACAGACCACTTCAGATGTAAGCCCCATTAATCCTCACAGTCCTGGAGTCTTACTGGTACTTGTCACTGTCTTGAAGCTTGCTACTTTGAAATTTGTGATACTGGAATGAAAAGTGTTAGCCTGGAATTTCCTATATTTGGGTACACTTGTGGAAATATCTCTCCCACAGCTATCTAGCTTCAGGTACAAGCATAACTGAAATCTTCTATAGTCTCTGACAGGGTGAGAATAGCAGGGAGATATCTCGGTTGTCTGGGCGGCAGCGCAGGCTTCCTAGTTTTGGTTACCCTTTGGAGTCTCGCGAGCTCCGAGGGTGCACGTGCTGCCAGTTCATGGCTGAACGCAACGAGCGCATGCTGAAGGCCAGACATCCAAAGTAGACCATTCTCATCTTGTTAGTACTGACTATGGCACGTTTCACTTTAAATGGTGGACACGTACGTCCTTAGAAGGAATAGCCTTTTGATTGTCTCCTGGACAATATGTGTTGCCTATAGTAGTTAGGTATCGGCGTAATTTGTAATGTAACTGTAGTGTCTGTTAAAAGTTATATTTGATTTTTTTCAGGGAAAGTATAGGTTTGAAGGACCAGCTTTCGGGACGGTCCAAGAACTGATTGTATATCAGCATCACCTGGGACTGCCGGTGACCAGCAAGTCTGGAGCGATATTACAGAACCCCATCTTTAGGGAGCGCTGGGAACTCAACAATGATGACGTCGAGCTTGTAGAGAAGATTGGAAGGGTCAGTTCATACTTTTGTTTATTCCTTTGTGCACTCCTAAAAATTGAGAGAATCTAAAACATCTTTTATTAAACATCCTTGTTTGTGCAAGAAATATAACCTGAAAACTTTCAGGTTCACTTGATGTTTTTTGTAAGTTTTACAAAAAATGTCTTTAAAGGGAAGCTGAAGCAGTTGTGTATTTGAGGAAACACACTTAAATCGATTTCATTTGACCTCCAGGATCTCTCATATCGAAATTATTTTTTTAATTTGGTGCATGGAGGCTGCAGAAAATAATTTTCAAAGTGCTGCTGGAGGCCCTTTTTACCGGAGTGTGACGCCACAAAAGGAGTTATCCGAATCTCCGCTCTCGCACATCTTCAGCTCCTATCACAGCTGTGCACGTGCGCACTTGCTATTTTTAAAAAGGGCAGAAAAAGACGTCACAACTGGTGCCAGTGCAGAGGAATACACCTGGCAAGCTTGCGATTGCACGTGCAGCCTTCGAGCGACACGCGCTTGGCGGCCGAGCTATCCTTTTATAACGTCACAACTGGTCGGAGGTTTTTCATGTTTTCTCGCGTTTAATTACATCATCGGGAAAAACAAACATGATATTCAGATTCACGGGATTCATGAGGTTAAGATTGTGAAAAATAACTGCATATTTTTTAAGGTTAAGGTTTGTGAGTGGCTTAATGATAAAAACTCTCAATTCTTCAAATTGACATGATGTGTTAATTTGATGTGAAGAATTTCAAGGATCATTGCTTCTCCTACTCTCAAGGACACAAAATGTGATATTATATGATAAAGGAATCTACATACTTGTACTGTTAGCTGACCATATAAGCCATAGAATTGGTTATATCTGGACATAATGAATCAGCTTCAAAGTTACACTACGGAAGATTAATAAAACTTGTAAATTTATTTTTACTGTAAACTTCTGTTGTCTGAAGTAAGTACCCCGATATTTCTTATCTGACTTTACTTACGCCGAGACAACCGCAGGTCAAAACACTTTGAAATCTTACTAATTATTCAATGTATAAAAAAAATTCTGCATGAAAATGTGAATTTGCACAAGCACTTGCAGCCTTTGACTTGCAAATGTTCCCATAGGGAAACTTTGGAGACGTGTACAGGGCAGTGCTGCATCCCCAGAGGACAGAGGTAGCAGTCAAAACCTGCAGAGTGAACCTGCCCGATGAACACAAGAAGAAGTTCCTGCAGGAGGGCCGCATTCTGAAGCAGTACGACCACCCCAACATCGTCAAGTTCATTGGCATCTGCGTCCAGAAGCAGCCCATCATGATAGTCATGGAGCTTGTTCCTGGTAATTGTGCTGCACATTTGTTTAGACAACAGGAAGTTCGTCAGCCTCAATGGACGTTTGGTGTCTCTACTGTAGATGGGAAGTTTAGGTAATGTAATACCACTGCTAGTCTGTGGTCTTTAACATGAATTACGCAGTAGTAACACATGGCTGCATGCCGGTATGATGCTCATACAGATCAAAGCAGGCAGGGGGGGTACATGGAGCGCAAGTTTGTCTGCTTTTTTTTTGCAGGGGTTGTGGTGACGTCAGAACGCCAAGCTCTGATTGGCCCTTGTTGAAGGATAGTAGGAAGACCTCGAAGCAAGCTGCCTTGAGGTCTACCCACTATCCTTCAGTCGGAGATAATCAGAGCTTGGCATTCTAACGTCGTCACAACCCCTGCAAAAGAAGCAGACGAATTTGCGCTACGCATTGAACCCAACGTTCCTGGGTTCTGCATGGAGCCAGACTAAGAGATTTCGGGGCCCTGGCCTAAGGTAGATTCTGAGGACCTCATAATGGTGATGATGATGATTATGATTATATGACTGGTTAACATAGTAAATTTTGGAAAGCCTAAGCTACCTCCAATTTTTTACTTCTACCTTTTTCACACTTTGTTGAGCGATGTTATCACTCACAGGGAGTTCACAATCCGTGAACGCTGAGTAAATTATTATTTTAAGGCAAAGGGAATGCAGTAATCTAATGACTTCCACGACTGTGTCAATTTTCTGAATCAATTTTCTGACCAAAATATTTCTTGGGTTTAATTTTTTTTTTTCCACTATCTTTTGCCTGGGCCCCGCCAAGAGCCGGGCCCATGGTTTGCAGCCCCCTTAGCCCTTACCTTAAAACAGCCCCGGGTCTGCACTGCAGTGCAAGCTTTCTGCCCCAGGTGCTTGAATTCACTGTGTCTGCACCTAGCTCATACTAGTGAAACACTGAGGCATGACTTTCATTAAAATTGTGTCTGATCACCTGTGCAGGAGGATCCTTGCTGGCATTCTTGAGGAACCAAGGCCCAAAACTGAACCCAAAGGAACTGCTGAACATGTGCATAGACACGGCTGCAGGCATGGCATATCTTGAAAGCAAGAACTGTATTCATAGGTGAGCTTTTTGTAATAAAACTAGAGGAAGCACTTCATATCTAGTCACCAAAAAGGTCAAAAATGGAAAAAAAAAACCCCAAAAAAAACCTTTATAGTTAATTTGTCTTTTATTCATCCTCCCTGTAGCACTGTTTAGGGGCACAAGTGCACTGCTTTCAATGGTGCTTAGGCCAGATATGAGCTCCAATCATTCACGTCAAACACACTTGTAGAATCAATCTAAGCAGGGCCATACTGCACTCATATGCTGTGCCTTTCATCCTGCACATCAGGGAGGTAATTAGAAGGTTTGAACTGCAATTTTGTATTCACTGTATGTGCAGTGGTGGACAATGTAAGCTCAAAGAGCCAAGAAATTACCAAAATATATTGGTGGGGCTGCCTTGATGCGGGAAGTTCAGCTATCAACGAGAGACAGCATGTGGATGACAGTGCCTTCATAATCTGGGCACATGGTCCCTGTGCAGGGCGAATAATTTTTCTGATGTCTGAACAGGCAAAAGTGATGGCATGTGTGCAACAATGGTGTACAATTTTCAAGCATTATCATGCTGAGTCAGATAGCAAGCCACTGCAATCTTGTCCACATGCTATCTCTTGTTGCTACATAAACTTCTCACATCGGGGCAGCGCCACTGGTCCCTTTCAGTCATTGTTATTTTAGCTTACATTGTACGACTGTACTCATTTTGCTCTTAAGAACTGTAGTGAAAAATGTTACGTTCCTCACAGAGTGCTATACTAATTTTCCCCTTTATATGCTGAATAAGATACTTGAATATGATAAACTATTTTAGAGCGCAACTCTTAGGCGCCCGTTTCCCGGTTGAGCGGCATCGGCGTAACTGCGCGTTGCATTATGGAACGTTTCCCTGCTAAAGTTACCGGGAAAAGATTTGTGCCAAATTTAGCGGGTAAATTTTTCCACTAAATTTAGTGAGAAAATTTTTGCGCTAAATTTAGTGAGGAAATTTTCACGCTACATTTAGTGTGGAAATTTTCCGGCTATGCAGAAGGGGAGGGTATGGAGGAGGAGGAGCGCAGTGATGTGATTGCTGCGCCAATTGCGCCAAACTGCGCCAAGGGGCTAACCCTGCTACATCCTGCTACATTTTGCCAAAATATGGGTAATCTGCGCCAAGCCCGCGCCAAAAGTTCAATTTTGATCGTCTTTCAAAACCGAAACTAAACTGAGTACCGTAATTGAGCATGCATGAGCTAGGTGGTGCAAGCGGCCGCCCAACTAGAAGTACCCTGTATCAATTGTCCATCCCGTCTTGCATTGTTTTTCCCGCCACCTCTCGTTTCACGCTCTCGTCGTTCACGTGTCTTGTCTCGCGTTTTTTTTTTTTTTTAAATTTCAACGATAGACGCGGGCATGTGCTGACGCTTCAGTGCTTCAGTCGTTGTACAAAGCGCTCCAAGTACTTTTTGACCCTGACTCGCGATGTCTTGTTTTGACCTGATTCGCGATGTCTTGTTTTGACCTGACTCGCTCAGGTTCTTTTTTTCTTCTGTGTGTTTAGCTTGTACCTTGCCTGCCGGCCTGGCAAGCACGTGCCGCTGGACTGTTTTTTTGTCGTATGCTGGACAATTACATTTTGCATACAATTTTGGGAACCAGTTGTCGACGGACCGGAGTGGCAGGGTGTCTGTTTCGATCGAACAGCCATCTCCGCTCGCGCGACGAAGCACGTGCAAATGCAAGCCTGCCGAGGTTGCCCTCATGTGCATGCGAACATGACTGCACGACAGAGGCACCAGCCGGGACGCTTGCAACCCATTGTTTTACGTTTGCTTACTTTTGACGAAAGCACGTCGGGAAGCAGTAAAACGGTGGCAAGCGGTTTTTCGGAATTGCTCGGCAACGACCACCGCACTGTTCACTTGTGGGATGTCTCAATGTCTCTTTGGAGACATTGAAAGTGGGAATTCATTACTAGCCAAAGGCAAAGCGAGGCTTGCAATAACCTTGTAGAGAGTTTCGAAAAGCAAAAAGAGAAGCACCCGCTAGTCGTAATGCACCTTTGTCTTGTGTACAATTTCGCATTGCACTGCAGTAGTTACGTGTTTCATCAGTCGGAGACAGCTTCTATTTATTATATTATATAACTTGGTAGTCAACCTAAGGCTGTGATATTTACTAATAATCTGGTCATTTTCAAATAAATTTTAATATGTGCAGTTTACTTCTTATTTATCTATAACGGTACATATATATGTATAATTTAACGGAAGCATTGCAAAATGTGTCATGTCATTGGCATTCCAGTTACATGTTGAAAGACTCCCAGGTGGTCGAACTTGACCATAATTTGTTTAATGCGGCGAGCGAAGTGTCCTTCATTCGTCCAGCACTTTAAGCGAATATGTTTATTTTTCTAAGAATATCTGCTCCAAAAGCAACTTTTGCTGCTCCGAAACACTGTTTTGGCTGCTCCAAAAGCAACTTTTGCTGCTCCAAAACACTGTTTTGCCTGCTCCAAAGGCCACTTTTGCTGCTCCAAAACACCGTTTTGGCTGCTCCAAAAGGTGCTCCAAAACGGCTTAGGCCAATCACATCACTGGGAGCGGCATACCTTCCCCTCCTTACCCTTTCCTCCTCCTCCTTTTCAAGAGCTGCACTCTAGTTTCGCTTTACAGAGATTTGTAAATGTCTCATTTTTTTTATTAAAAAACTTACGACATAATATCTCTTTTTACACCCAAATCTTGTAAGAACTAATTCGTGCTGCAGACAAACGATGCACTACACTTGCTTTTTTTCATTACGTGACAATGAGTATAGTGACCATAAAGTACTAGAAATTGGAGCAGTATCTATTATTATTATTAATAATAATAATAATAATAATAATAATAATAATAATAATAATAATAATAATAATAATAATCTTAGCAAAAGTCGAGGTACTCTAGGTGACTCGCAAGGCTGGGCAGGCAGATGGTCCTGCGTGCACGAGTCTACTAGCCATATATTTCCATTTTGTTAGAGCCTCACATTCATGCAGTTTGTTTCCATATTTACACTTCAATAAAGCATCACATTTCTGCGAGATTGTAGTCATTCTGATGCAAATAGTCATTCACACACCTTGAAATGGACGTCCCACTGCCTCTGCAGGGATTTAGCCGCAAGAAACTGCCTCGTTGGCCGAAACAACACTGTCAAGATATCAGATTTCGGCATGTCACGGGAAGAGGAGGAGTACATAGTCTCGGATGGCATGAAGCAAATTCCAATCAAGTGGACAGCACCTGAAGCTCTCAACTTCGGTGAGTCTTTCGTTGATAGACTTGTGAACTGAGAAAAAATACACTTAGTGAATTTTAAATCATCTTTAAAGCAGCATAAAATAGAGCTTTGGGCATAAATACTATAAGAACAAAGTTGCTTATATGTTCTCATGCATCATGTACATATGTAACATGTGTCTCCTGCGATCTGATCGTAGTGTCATTTTCTAAGTACAGCGAGACCTCTCGATCACTGTTGCAACATGATTCCGAGACAACTTTGGGAGTTTTCAGTGTTGTAGTGGTTTTGCCACCTAGTACCTGGCAATGCATGTTGTCTTAATTCAGCACTAAAAAGCACACAGATGTTGCTTTTATGAGGTTTGTTTGACTTCCAACCAACAGACAGACATATCAAGGGGCTTTACGCAGAACATGTGCTGTCACAAAAAGAAAACATTTCAAACTGGCAACACTTCATTCAGGGCTTGATTGCCCACCTAGCCATTAGACGAGATCATGTGGGTGGCAGTTTGCCGACTTGCAGGGTCCACAAGGCTGCTTGAGTTCTACTGAAATATTGTGAAAGAAATACAAGTTAGCTTTAAACCGTGCCTTGTAAGTTACTTAAAACCAAAAAGTTTTGCATTTGGCTGTAGCATTAAGAACGAACCATGGGCTGTTATTATATACATTGTTCCATAAGTAAGGCATGCTCTTCAACTCTTTCCTGACCACGCCCATAGGCCATCGATCACCGGTAATCGATGATTTCGAAGCACCGTCAAGGAATTAAATTTAGTGCGGAGAATTATGTTCCACAATCTCGTGTATAGCTGAAGAACTCTAGATTCGGTTTACCCGTAGGTTTAAGCTTTATCACAAGCTGGTGGGCTGTCAAAAATAGTCGTGGGAACAGTGGTTGCGCTTGTCTAACATGGCTAACTGTTTGAATCAGTCTTCATAACAAAGATGGCATTATCTACATAATTCAAGTGTATTGTGGCATATTTTTTAGACCACAAGAGCTCTGGGGACACTTCAAATGATGCTATAGGCATCTTTTAACGGATGGTTGTCGGTAAGCATAACTATAATTTCCAAGGCTCTCCTGAGACGGCGTGCACGTTTCATGTTCCCAAGACGCACAAAAATTCTAAATACGATGAAACTGCAATAGAGGCTATGACAAAAGCTAGGTAGTACACAAAGAAAGAGTTTTACTGGGGATGTGAGGTGTACCACCTGCGTTTCACCAGTGCAAGCATTCCTTCGTTGAAAAGCACGTGTTACGGAGGCTACTGTGTTTGCACAATTGTAACGCGCCCCCGATTGTAATGCGCAGGTATATTTAGTGCTCAAATATTCGGAAAATAACTTGATGCCAATTGTACCGTGCAGGTAAAAAAAAAAAAGGAAGGCTGAACACCTACCTCATAGAACAGATTTTTTGAAACGCACACCAATACAAAAATAAATACCATGCACTAGTTGCCGTTGTCGGAGTCCGACGATGGTTCTTCGTTGTCCACAAAGAAAATCCTTGCTTTCGTCTAAAGCAATTTAGGTGCCGCGCTACTTTCACCTGTACGAGTGCATGACCGTCACCTCTGGGATGGTTGTCTTCAAACAACTTTGCAAGCTTGTTGGATCGCTGGGATTGCGAGGCCACGCAGTGCTGCTCTGTTATATTTTCTTGCCAGCGTGATGGCCTTTCATTTAGGTAATGCCTCCTATTCAAATTTCTTTTCTTTTAATTTCCATCTTAAGACGGCACACACGAGCACTAGATGCGAGTACGCATGATACGGATACCAATATGGCGAATGGATGGATGATGTTAATGGCTATACCCTTTGTAACGGTCAATAGCTTGTGCCACCTAGACCAAGTCTAAAAAGACAACCATGTGATTCCTCCCGCCCTTCTAAGCCGATTTTCTCCCCGCAGTGTGTGATATCAGCAAAATCACTTTTGAGGGATCGGGAAAAAAAAAAAAAATGAAAACATCACCCCCCACCTCTTTCCCCCGGCAAGGGAGTCGCTAATTTTCCTCTGGTCAAATCTTGTCGGCGTTACCCCAGCACCGAACCCACTGGTGGACACGGTTGAGACTTGGGGCCGGAGTCACGCGGGAGGGAGTCCCAATTTTCCTCTGCCCCGCCTATCCCCAGTTGTGCTAGTTAGTTGCGCACCACTCAATCTTCCCTAGGTAATTTCCACCAATCTTCCAATTGCCTCTTTTTGACTGTAATCCTTTTCTCTTCCGTCCTTCTATGGTCGCCAGCAAAATCTAGGGCCCCGGCCAAATCTGCTACATACCCCTTCAGGAAGGGCAGAGCAAGGCCCCCGTGCACTTCAAAACCAAGCGCTCTAGTGTCTTACTCTCATTATGGCAGGCAGCACATAATCTTTGCATCTCCTCAAATTTAGCACTATACGTCCTCGTCCTCAAAATTCCCGTTCTCGCCTCAAGCAGTAAACAACTTCCCAGTGATTTGTCAAACACATTTACCTTTCTTATGTCCTGTTTTTGTGACCTGTACATTGTTATAGCTGAGTTTTTACTGCTTTCTTACCTCCCACATTTTTCTTTTTGCCTCTTTCACTCTCTTTTTCATTGAAACAGTCTGCTGAGCCCCATCACTAGTGTTTAGGTATTTAAACATAGGCTTTTGGGTTCGGTTCGTCCATTTTGTGTTTGAACTTTTCATGTGTAAGTACTTGAATACCTTCGATGCCCACCACGTGTGTCCTCCATTTCGGTCAACGGTTGTTCAAATTTCAACTTACTAATTGCCTCCCTGCTCTCAAAATACGACCAGCACATGTCCCAGTGTACACCTGCCGGCAATATGAAGGTGAGCGCTGGACCGTCGACCGCTCTGTGCTATCAGCGCGATGACGGGGCTGCCATGACACCTCGCTTTCTTATCGCGATGTGAAGGTGAACGCCGGTCCACCGCTCCCTGCTATCAGCGCCATGACGTGGCTGCCACGGCAGCTGCGTCATGGCGCTGATAGCACGGAGCAGTCGACGGCCCGGCGTTCGCCTTCATATCGCGCACGACTATACACCTTCATTTGGTGTCTTTCCATGTGCTCCCAGTGCCAATCTGCCTATGCTTCTTCGTTGAATTTATAATCCTGATTGAACCTCTGATTTCATGCACAGTACCCCATTGATAAAAGACAGTCGTGGTACCTTTCCATATAGTTGTTCCATAGTGCCTTGAGCATCATCATAGATGAATTTCTTTTCCCTTTTCTAGTTATATTCTCCTCGTGTTCCTCTAGATATTTCCTTCCCTCATTGAGCCAGACTCCCAGATATTTGTATTTTCCAACATGGTCTATTACAATGTCTTCTATCCTCAGTGTTCCCTCTTTTCGTCGTTGAACACCATTTATTACTCCAGACTTGTCACTACTACAACTCATGCCCAAGGTGTTCCCTTCCTCTCCACATATTCCAGCTACTAGCTCCTGTAATGTATCCTGGTTATCTGCCATAAGTACCATGTCGTCCGCATACATCTGTCCTGGTATTACCTGTACTACATTTCTCCCTTCTTCCATATAACACATCAAAACCTAAGTTGCGCTGCTCTAATTTCTTTTACATTTCACTGAGATATATCATGAAGAGTGAAGGTGACAGTGGACAGCCCTGCCTGAGCCCTCCTTTTATTGCTGCAAGTTGTGTAGTCTCTGTTTCCCATGTTATAATTACCTTAATGTCTGTGTGCACCTGCTGAAGAACCTAACCAAATTCGCATCTAAGTTATACTCCTTCAGCTGACCCCAGAGTTTCTCCTGGCTCACATTATTGTATGCTCCCTTGATGTCCAAATAAGCTAACCATAAAAGAGTTTGGTTCTTCATTGCTATTTCTATACATTGTGTGGTGACGAATAAGTTATCTTCCAGTCTTCCATCTCTTCGGAATTATTTGGCGGTATGACTTAATGTTGTTTTTGTTTTCTCTGCCTTTATATATAGCCTCATTTTACTTAGTTTCCAATCATTGGATACCTCTCCTCCCATAATTATTTGATCAGTCACATGCCCTTGATGTCTGGGCCTGTCGCTGTACCCGCTGGAACCTTACTTTCTGCCTTATCCCATCCTCTTGTGTTTGTCTCCATTGTTACACAATTCTGCTCCTCTTCTACACTGCTGCTGTATATGCTATCCACTGTCCCCCTCTGCTCAAGCTGGGAGAAAGCCTTTTTGATTGACTGCCATATATTTTCCCGTGCCTCTTCCCCCTCTATCTTCTCCCCTCCTGTGTGGTCAGTATGTTTTGGAAACCCTCAGTCTTTCTCCTCTGCGTTTAAATGTGCTCCCAAAACCTTTTCTCCACATTCCTATCTTTTTTTTTTTTATTTATTTCCATCATCCACTGCACTCCTGCACTCCCAATTTCGGCCTGTATTAAAGCTGACACCTCCCTTTTCTGCCTCTTGGAAATTCTCCCATTTTCATGCAACTTCAGCTGCCAAGGCTCCCCTTTTCTTTGCCCACCTATGCTCCTTGGATGCCTCTTGGCACCGCAATATGGCTGCTTTGACCTCCTTATCCCATCAGCTTTTTAGTTTGTCTTTGTTTTTGCTTTCCCCTTTGTTTAGTTCAATGCTTTTCTAATTCTCTTTTAAATATTTCTATTTGATTGTCATATGTCCATTCTCTTTCTGGCTGTTTCGATACTATGTTCTCAATACTTTTGGATACTTTTTGTATTTGAACTTCATAGTTTCGGCTTACCCGCTCGTTCCTGAGCTTGTTGTTCTGGTTCGGGTGCGCCAAATTTAATCTTACTTCTTTTGTGGTCAATGCCTAAATTGTTTGTACCTTCCTCATCTATTTCCATACTTCCTTATACAGTTTGTGGGACATAAGGCAATAGCAATAGTCTTTTGTTGAGTGTGAGTTGTTTCATTCCCACAATATTTTCTCGTCGCACTTTACTTGTGCATTAATTAACACTACATCCAGAGTGTTTCGATTGTAACGCGCATGTATTTTTGGGCACTGATTTTGGAGAAAAAAAGTGTGCATTACAATCGTGCAAACACGGTAACTCTGACGAACCAAAAAAAGCTGTCAGTTAGGGTACACTAACTTTCAGAAGTAATAGCCGTGGGTGTGGGGCACATTTTTTTATTCAGAATTTTTTTTTTGTATTTGTCATGTAATTTGACATAGCTGTGTTTATACGCCTTCCGCACAGATACTGTATATTAAAAAAATTTAATTTAAATATCTTTTTCCTCCCATTATATTAACCCCAGTTTCTTGTGAAAGAACAACTAATTGACAACATTTTGATGTGTCATATTGCCCCATACACAAGTTAGTTAGGAAAATAAAAGCGTTTGCATGGACCCTTTGAAAATTACCAGTACTTTTCTCGTGGTCAGAAAGAGTTAAGGGAAAGCTGAAGACTTTTTTGAATTACTGAAGGTTTGATTGTAAGTCGCCTCTGGCAGATAAAAGGTGACACAGACACTTGCTGCACGACCTGTGGCAATCGCTTTACGATTTCCAAAATAAAAGCAGTTTAAGCTGACTTCTGCCCAATTTAAGTGCAAAAATCAAATTCAGGGGATAAAGAACTATGGAAGGCCACTGCTTTAATTTTTTTCTTTTTTGTGCTTCAGCTTTTCATTAAGGTGACTAGCATTTTTTAAGTTAAGTTTTTGTTAAAAGTTCACTCATATAAACAGATTTAGAACCATCAATAAAAAATAAAAAAAACATTTGATGTGATTTGTGAATGGAAATTCTAAACTTTTGGTATCCTGGTGACTTTCTTTGTTTACTTATTTAAAATATACTGTGACTCATCCAAAACAGCATGGTACCAAGCGAGTGCTCACCTAAAATTTGGAGGTATCTTGAAGAACTATAGTTGTACCTGTTAGGTCAGAGAGCAAAAATGCAGAAAAGTCCTAAAGGATGGATTTCACCACATTGCACAAGGGTCCTTGGAGGAGTGGGTTATGTGGAGCAGCTCGATTAGTTAGGTCTAGAATGGCGCTTGATATGTCTTGGTTAGTTGTCAAACATCTTAATAGTAACACGTGGGCACTTGCTAAGATAGGGCGCGTGCTCGTAATTTTAAGTAGTTTGAGTACCTCTCTTGGTCAATTTGACATACTGTTGCAATAAGAGATCCTTTTCTGGCCCCAAAATAGGTTCTTCGTTAGATGGCAGCAATCATCAATAGACTTAAAAGGACGGTGCAACAATATTCGGTTGGAATGTTTTTCGCTTTACACAAGCATACTTGCACTATGCTCCGTTCGTCCTTAAGCTGAGACCGCAGCCAATACCACAAGCAGGAGAACACAAGGTCACTTCTTTGACCAGTTTTTCCACAAAGCGAGCATTCGCGCTAGAAATGCACATTTCAAAGCTAGGAGCACAGGTTAGCTCGCACTTGTAGCTTTGTCTGCAGTCTCAGCCTAAGGGTAGAACATAGAACATAGCTTTATTTTTCATTTCAACAATACAAAAATACAGATAACGAGCCGGTATAAGCCTCAAGGGCTTGTGTACTTAGCTTGTCGGCAGGTGGCGAAATCACAGTGTAATTCAAAATGAAAGGGTCTATTTACCCTCAATGGGACCCATGTATGCTTGTGCGCTACACCATTGACCAAGAAACCTCTTTGCTGCGGTGTAATTTGAAGAATAAAAGCAAGCGTTTCCTTTCAGTTTCCTTCGCAATACTTGATTGCTTGATTGCATAGTTTGGATGTTGCGGTGTTGGCATTGTCCTCCGGTGACAATATTTGAATGTGGCTTGTAGATTGAACCCGAGTGCTATGTGAGCACTCGACTTGGGCTCGTGATAATCAATAGCTTGACAAACATTTGGGCAGTGGCTCTTGTCCAATCGTTGCAATGATGGCAATAGCCATACCCTTGCCATGTCTGGAACTCGGCACATGTACTGTGTTTTGCCAACCCCAGCGCTTGGCTATGATAAAAAATGGCAGCAAATAGTCGGCTTCAGATCATGTTGCGACTTGTTCTGGCTGCAAGTCGAGGGAAAAAACGCTGCTCGGTTTTCTTGAATTTTTTTTTTCTTTGTGACGACCGTTGTGCAAGGAGAAAAATGAACTTGTGTTTCATAGGTTACAAACGTCAGTGATTCATCATACGTGATAATTCTGCGAAGTGCAAGAATCGTTACATCGCTCCTTTAACTCTAAAACCTGGATAACAAAGTTCAGCTGCAATGACAGAGGCACATTTTTATTACATCTCTGTGCTTCTGGAGTTGTTTTCCTCTCGAGAACCTGTGTTGCACACAACTTGTTTGTGCTGGCCTCAACTGGCCTTCATGATTAACCCCTTAACCGTTCTGTTCTCCCCGGTTTACACACTCAACAGTTTTGGACGACCCAAGCTCACTCATGGCTTAGTTTGTAGCTCTGCCAACAGATGACAGCACCAAAGTTTTTTTCCCAAAGTTTGCTCCCATTCCGTATGTGGCTAGAAATTTGAGTATGAAGGCAACCAATAAGCTGCTGAGGGTCAGAAATTGCCAAAAACTAAATATGCTTAAGGGGTTAAAGGAAGTCGCAGAGTAGGAGATACAAGACATCGGATTCACATTACAGCAGCTATTTTATTGACAGTATGCAACTTCTTCTCTTGCTCTCCAGGAAAATATACTTCTGTCTGCGATGTGTGGAGCTACGGCATACTAGCGTGGGAAATTTTCTCTCTCGGAGCATCTCCGTACTGCGGCATGTCTAACAGCCGAGCACGAGAGCTGATTGACACAGGTGAGTCGTGAACAAGTGACAACAGTATAGATCACAGTGACTGAGGGAAAACAGATTCATACTCCAGAAAAAACTAACTCGTAAGGTAAGGAACACACATATACACACAAATACAACCATGTTTCGACTTTTTCCTGGTGAGTAAAAATAAATTCTTGCACATATCCTTTCAGAATAATGTTAAAGGCACATTAAAGAGGTTTCTGGCTATCTTTTTACGACATTCACTTGACCTACATGCCCCAAGGATTTCATATGAAAAATGTGCTCAGTGACTTTGATTAAGGACCAGTGCAGTGAACTGTTTTCTCCGTGCTAAGAACCCATGAACTAACTGCGTGGGACATCTCTCCCCTGAGTGAGCGTTGTCTGTGCAATTTTGGAGAAAGTCCCCCGCAGACAGCTGGTGGGTTCTTAATGCAGACCAAAGATTTCACAACATTGTTCTACATGCATGCAGGCCAACTATGATCATTGTTGCACATAGGTCACATTAATGTCCTGAAAACACGAAGCCAGGAAGCTCTTTAGTGCAGCTTTGAACTAAATGATCATGGCAAGACTTTTTATAATTGCTGGACCCAATTTAGGACGTTACAGGCAGCTTGCTGTTGAAATAGACACAGCTACTTTTTGGGCAATGAAGTACTGTAGGCATTTCTGCTGGTTGAAATAAATACCGGCGAAAATTGTAAGGTTGTTATCAATTCGATGCAACACAATGCATCTGTGTTTAAACAATGCTGCGAATGATCTCTGCCTATACCAACTTTTGGCTTCTGCAGTTCCATTTTAAGAATTATTACGGAAGTTGATATGTGGCGGCTAACTTTGTGTTGTCCTTTGCAGGATATCGACTCCCATCCCCGGAACACACCCCTGGTCCCGTTTATGAACTCATGCTGCGCTGTTGGGAGTACAACCCGGACAAAAGGCCAAGTTTCTACGACATCCATCACACCCTGGTCAGCATCAGCAAACATGGTTGAAGACTGTTGCACTGCACTGCTCCAAAACTTCCCTTTCTTAGTTTATTATTGGCAATTACAAAAGAAGTGTGATGCCCCCTTAAGTAGAATCTTGTTTTTAGCTAGCTCTCCTGTAAATAAGGCAGTTGCTCACTTACTAGATACAAGTAAATGCCTAGTGCAATTATCGCCAATGGCTCAAGGCGGAGTTACGCTGTTTTGTAGATGTTCTCAAAACATTTTTTAAAGGTTGTTTGTTTGATTTGTTCTATGGTGGTTTGTGTAACATGTAGTCCGCACAATGAGTTGATACGCATATAAAGTATTTATTTCGTGCCATACTTTTTTTTTTTAGTTCTCATGCATGTCTGCTGCACAGAATGGTGATGTCGCTTTAGTACAATGACCAGGCTGTTGTCTATACAATACTCGCAACTCAACTGTGCTGTTTAAAACAAAAGTGGCTAGTAGAATAAAAAAAAAAAGTGTTAATAAACAGTGAATTGGGTGAGGGTTACCGAAAATAAAAGTGTTCAAAAGTGGACTTTGTACGAACTAGTTAATGTTATATCACACTGTCTACCTATGTACAGGACTAGACAATGAGGAGCTCTTCACTACACAACCAGTTTCCAATCTGTTGGGGAGAAAATAGTTCCATTGATAGATATCCCAAACAAATATAGTTAACACATGTCATCCCCCCCCTTTTCTTTTTTCTGAAAGCCCCAGGTGTTTTTTGATCGATCGGAACTAGCACAAGCTGGTCTGTACACACACATTGACCACAATTACACAAGTCACTGGGAATGTTTTCTACATCTACACCTTTCCTTGACCTCCCTAACGACATCCCCTGCCTGCAACTCTACACTTTTGAGTGCTTTAAAAAAATAATAAATCTGTAACAAACAAAAAAAAATAGTACCGTGCACATATTGCTTATTTTGTGGGAAGCCATTTTAGAAAGTGTGCTCCATTCCGCAAATTCAGATACATAGTTCCGATTTCTTTCCTTCCCCGTGAAATGTATAGAGCTTTCTGTTCTTTGATTTTGAATATGCCTATATACTCTATTTCACCTCTTGATAGACGCAGCGGACGTTACGAGCCAATTCAGTGAATCTAGCACTGCGAATGTGTCGCGTGACTATGCGCCCTTCCCAAAGATCATGCAACACTTGCATGGCATTAGATTGGCTCCCCTGGCTTGTGGCATTCACTGCAGTCCACCATCATCAGGTGCAACACTCTATAGAAGCACTGCACAGTGCTTCTGAATTAGTGAAGTCATCTTGTGCCAGTGACCGGTGGATTTGTGCTCCCATTATATTCAAAACACTAGTAATCAAATTATAAATGTGAAGAAGTCTATAGGCCTATGCATATTAGTCTCCCTACAAAAACTCGTAGAAAACAACCTTGGATCTGTTCAAAATTGACTCCAGGCATCCCCAACGAGTCTGCATTTACCCCTGAAAAAACATTTTCCACAAAAAATAAAAAATGTTTCACTTCTGTTTAGATTGAAACAATAATTTGGCAATCATTTCATTGTGCAGGTATATTTTGCAGCAAACTTAACAAAATGACCAGTCTCGATAACAAACATCTCTGTTGTCCAGAATTCAGTGCAGTAACCTTGCAGTCTTCACATCTTGTCATCGTGGCAAAGGTGGGGCGGAGGGGGCTGGACACGGTACGGGGAGCGTGGTTGCCTAGTTGGCCTTGAGTCCAGCCTTGCACTCCTCCTTGGAAGGTAAACCGACGCTCCAGCCCAGGGTGGCGCGGTCAAAGCCGCACGTGAACAGGTTGGCTTTCACGTTGGGCTGATCCGAATCCAACCAGGCGGCAGCACACACCATGCGCCGGTGGCCCTGTGAACATTTGTCACACGGCTATAAACAAACCATCCATTGACATTAAGTAGAAATTAGCGTAAAACAAATACTGGACAAAGGATTCCTCTGAGTCGGCCCTCTCTCCTTTTCATCGACGAACATCAACAGCCGACAAATCCAGTCCAAGCCTTGGATTGGATTGGATTAAATTGGATTGACGGCACGACACTAGACTAGATTCAGTTAGAGCTACTAGATTTAGTGACAAATGGGACAGCTGCAGATCATAAATCCAATCCAAGCCTTAAGCCGAAAGTGTGCATCTGGCAGCCATGCTGCCATTCGGTTATTGACGTGTGTGGTTGAGCGTCGCGTTTTTATTGTCTTCCCGGAAGTGGCTTCTTCACTAACGATGTCGGCGGCAAGAAAGTACTCGTTTAATCCGGACTGTACGGACCCGAATATTTCGGAATACGCAAGTTAAATTAAGCCCGTGCGAAATGATTCTTACAATGTTCAATGCTCAATGCCTTGTGTTGAAATGGTCTTATATATTTATCTGCCTCTACAATGGTCAGGGAATTTCCTTTGAAATTGTCAGGGAAAACCTGGAAAAGTCAGGGAATTTCGAAGTAATAATTTGCTAGACACCCTGCTCACGGTGTTCCTGGAGATGATGTGCTCACTATGCTAGCATTTGGAGTTTGGAAATACTGAAAGAATTCAGGAAATCCTGCCATGTCATGACACGTTATATAAAAAAAAAAAAAAGAGGCAGAAGCCGGAAAAAGTTATTTCAACGAATGATTTTTTTGTTTGTTTTTACTTTCGAAGTAGTGATTTTCAATACCGTATGTACTCGCATAATGAACATAGGTACTTTTTTTTCTCGAAAAATGGCCACATATTTGGAAAGTGCATTCATACGTGGGATAAAATTTTTGCATTTATATACTTTGTGCAAATGTCATATTAGGTGCCAATATGACATAACAAGGTACTGTGGCAAGTCTCCATTGATGGAGGTGCACCCACAGCTGGTCGGGGGCATGCCAAAGTAATCATGCTTTATAAATAGCGAACCTTTGTAGGGCGCTTTCGGCGTGCCTTTTACCGAAGGAAAAGTGCCCTACGAACCTCACTCAGCACGGAGAGCAACGCAACCGTTCTTAGGCCTAACCACTTTCACAATTTCATAGTCCGAAAGCAGACCACAGACGACGGCATGTTTGTTGACATTAATGCATTCAATATGCGAAGAAAGTCCGGGGCTGGGCGATTCCCCAAGCCAAGCTTCATTAAGTCTGCGCATTGCTCGGTTTCACGGTTGATCACTTCTGCAACTACACACTTGCAGCCATTACGAGAGCGGCTTGGCTTGGCTTGACTTGGCCCGACTGCTTGGTGGCAAAAGAAAATCTTGGTGGGCTTGGTGGCTAGCCAAGTTGGATGCAATTCGAGACTCGCGGAGCCTAAAATTGGAGGTGCGTTCATTACGCGAGGGGAAAAAAGTCAAAATATTGGTACCCGTCGTGGGGAGTGCGTTCATTATGCAAGTGGATTCCATATGCAAGTAAATACGCTATATGAGCCAACTGAAACCCAGCAATAAAAAAAAAAGCTATACACATCTAGTGTGTTACTGTCTCTTATCATTTTCCTTTTCTGGTAACAGAACCGAGTTTGAAAACAACACAACATAAAAACCTAATGGCATAATTTTTTTTTTTTAAGAGATGTTTAGGCAGGTCACTAGTGCTTTTCAAAGGGCTGTGGTTAAACTAGAAGGCATTAATTGCAAATGGTGGAGAGAATAAGAACTCACCTGTCTGTTGTTGCGAGGAAGCCTTGCAAGGCGAACCCCAGAGATGTCGAACAGCCTGACCTGCCTGTTGTCGTGAGGAATGGCTATCACATGCTGGTTGGACACCGCTAATCTGGAGAGAAAAAACAACAATAAAAGACAAGTCTTAAAAACTTGCAAAACACTTCTGATGGGACACGATTGAAACGTCTGCCAATGCCACCAGCCCACAAGTGGCTTTAAACACCGGCACAAATCAAAGTATGAAAGAGAGGACATCCTAGAAACTGTGTTTTTTGCAAGACGACATTGTTTATTTATTCGGATAATCTGATTTGCGCTTTACCCGGACAAATTCAACTGGTGTTCCAGGAATTTGCCAGGAACAAATCGCAGGTGTTCCTGGTGACTTCAAAGTTGGATATTGAGAGGACAACTGCAACTACACATATGAAGAGCTCTGCACGGACATTGCTTTCATAACCTGCATCCGCAGACTTTGTATCTGCATTCGAACCACATCCACAAGCATTCTCCAGTTTTATTTGCATCCATCCTGCAAGTTGCTATTTTTCAAAATAAAGTTTAGACGCAAAGCATCTGTGCATATGCACTTCCGTAAACAAAACTGCCTAAGTAAGTCCACATGCTTGCACCTTTAACACGCACAGCAATGTAGAAAACCAGTAATGCCTCTGCAACGGGATCATCATTACGGAACGGACCACAAGACCACCGGAATGCTGCATACTGCGGCCACAGCAGTATTCCTTGGTGAAGGATGCGGTGCAGTTCTGAAAATTTGCAACCTATTCCAACAACAAAAAAAAAAAATCACAAAAACATTTTTTGTATTTAAAGCACTGAGGCAATTAAGTTTAGGTGGAATCAAATGTCTAGCAGGCATAAAACCGTTTTGGCTTGAGAAACTGATGTCTCGCACATTGCATATCTCCATCCTGTCTAAAATGACTGGAGATCACATTGCATGTGCATCCGATCTGATACCTGCAAAATGAGCTGAGCTTTTATCTGCATCTTCCGGTAACATTGCCTGCAGATATCCTGCAGGTATGTAGAGCTCGAATCTTATGCCTTTTAAGTCAAGGCTGTGCAGTAAGGCTAGATCATGAAAAAAAACAGTTTGCAATAATTTTGTTTACCGTTCATCCCATGCAAAAGGAGATGCTTTAGGATGATATTATACTCCATTCAGCCCTAAGCTTGGACGGCAGTGGAAGCCATGTCCTCGTTGGGCCAGACATACGCCACTCTTTCATCATGTTATCATGCTCCTGGCAATACCCATGCACGGAGAGCCGGGCCAGGCGATAAGAGAGAGGCGGCCGATTGGTCCGGCAGACATAGAGCTTCCACCGTAGTTTCAGCCTAAGGGTGAACAGAGTATAGGGGCAGTGGCACAATCTAGTACTACCGTATTTACTCGCATAATGAACACGCTTTTTTTCCGAAAAATTTACACATATTTGGGGGTGCATTCATTACACGGGGTAAAATTTTTGCATTTACACACTTCGTGCAAATGTCACATTAGGTGCCAATATGACACGACAAGGTACTGTGGCACGTTTCCACTGATGGAGGTGCACCCACGGCTGGTCGGGGGCATGCCACAGTAACCATGCTTTATAAATTGCAAACCTTTTAGGACGCCTTCGGCGTGTTTGTTGACGTCAATGCATCCGATAGGCGAAGAATGTCCGGGGCTGGGCACTTCTTCGACCCAAGCTTCGTCAAGTATGCGCGCCGCTCGGTTTCCCAGTTGATCACTTCCGCAAGTACGCACTTGCAGCCATTATGAGAGCGGGTTGGCTTTGCTTGACTTGGCTTGACCGCTTGGCGGCAGAAGAAAATTGGCTTGGTGGCTAGCTAAATTGGACGCAATTCGAGACTAGGGGAGTTAAAAATTGGAGGTGCATTCATTACGTGAGGGGAAACAAAAAAAGTCAAAATATTGGTACCCGTTGTGGGGGGGTGCATTCATTATGCGAGTTAATACGGTATTATGTACGAGAATCCCATTAGCATTGTGGAATCCTAACCATGTCCCCTTCTTTCCCATCCAATGCCAGGCACGTCACCAACACCAACACAGTTAAGCACCAATATTACTGCACCGGGATTATGTTCAGTTTCTGAAGAATGCTTTGTGCTTTTTTTTTCTACCCCTGAGATAATTAAAGAAACACAAAGTGCCATTTACTTCGCGGCATTAAATTTTTTTTTTTTTCTTTGGTTTGCTATATTGAAATGTAAAAATATGGGAATCGCAACATACCTGTTAACTGGCGAGTCCAGCCTGATGGTCGTAAGTGGAGATCGCATGTTCTTCAGATCCCAGACTTTGACTGTGCGGTCATCACTTCCAGAAACTACTTTGTCCACAGACGTGAAAGTTGCAGAAGTGACGGCCCTAGAACGGTAGGGTGTAAAGTTTTAATTAAACGTCCAAGCACTACCTTTAGATTTCTCATTAAAGATAAATCAAGATTTTGATGGTTCCAATTATGCAAGCACACTTCATAACTCTCATTCTTGTCAGTCGTATGGTGACAATGGTAAATGGTGCTAGTAATGTACCATTCTGCAGCATCTATCAAGCTAGTTGTTTAAGCTTGAATGATGCTTAAAATTACAAATAAAAGTCAGACACTGCCTCTCTTCTTTCTGCTATCTAATAAGTATTGATGCCATAATGCTTCTGTGGTTGGATGTGTAGTAATATGCTAAATTTCTGGATTTATGTTTACTATAATGGAATAGTTACTCTGTCATCTAGCAATAAACTGTTGATTTAATGAGCTATGCCATCCATCAAATGCTTAGAAAAGTTGGTTCTGTGGCAGAGCTGATTTGCAGGTGAATTAGTGAAGTTTCCAATAATTTAACTTTTATGAGCCAGTGGGCACGCTGTAAAGTCTGGTTTGAATAAATGCTGAATTAAGTTGAATGGGGGATTAGCAACCTTTTAACATAGGGTGCATCCATCCATAGTTAAGTGAAACATACAGAGATGTTTCATAATTCTCTAAAATTGCTATTATGTAGTGTACCCTTCTCAATAATGCAGCCAGCAGCAGTTTGTTAACAACGAGAAGCTGCAAAAAAAGCAGCTTGGGTGAAACAGCACACGAGATTTACACAAGACAGGCACACAAAAAATCACACATACACAGCGCTGACTAACAACACAGGTTTGTATTTCTTCTTTCTCTGGTCATCATCATCATCATTATCATCAGGTCAGAGAAAAAAAACATACAAACTTGAGTTGTTAGTCTAGTGCTGAGTATGTGTGATTTTTTCTGTGCCTGTCTTCTGTGTGTAGGTCTTGTGCGCTGTTTCACCCAAGCATGAACAACCAACTCGCCCAAGCCTCCGTCCTGCAGAAAAAGAACAATGAACACCTAGTTATCTGCTCTTATCATCATTACTACTGTCAAACAACTTCCAACTTAAACAAGGAACTTAATCCCCAATGCGCTATGCCTGTGTCCTACCATTGTGGGGGCAAGCCCATAGTTTTAAAACAAATATTCTTCAGTCTTTCACTACTGTACACCACGCTTAAACAAAAATTCAGCTGAACTCGTGAAGGTGGTTCTTAACATTTCACTTGTCCACTTCTAAGCTTAGTTAATTTTAATACAACTATAGGAATTGTGGCATGTAAACAAGATTCGTTACAGCTGTCCAGATCGAGGGGATTTATAAATATGTTTAAATTCAAATTTGACAAAAAAAAAAGCATGAATGATGAACACGGGTTATCGAGACATTGCTCCTAACACGTCAAATCTCGATATAACGAATTTCGTAGAACTCGCGAAAATCGTTCAATATTTTGAAATATTATTTGAGTGAAAAATTCGTAAATTGAAATTAAATCTGATAAAAAATAACATACCTTTGCAACAGAAATATCCAAACAATCAGTTTTATCCAGAAAAAAATAAATACAACACGTCATTGATCACTACGTGTTTATTAAAAGAAAAGGTCCAGCACAGACGCTAGAGGAAGAGTGACCCGACAATGACACACTGGCACCGCTCACGCGATTAAACACTGCGCACAAGGCACAGTTAATGGAAGAAACCCGAGATCTTCCCTGGTTGGTGCAGCGCAAACGCTGCAGGACGAACGATTCAATGTCGTCCACCTTGCTATGGAGAGTCTCGGTCGCACTGTCATTTCCAAAAAATATGCGCAACTTGCTGATGCAGTACAGCCCGCGTGAAGGGGAGGAATGTGCTAAGTTAGCGGGTTAGGCCTAGTGCGCATTTGTTTCCCAAGTCGATCTTTGATGATGATAATGGTTGGCACATGGTTGGCAGAGCCGTATATTGGGAGAGTTTGGTCGATGGGCGAAGCAAAGGCTGCCGCCAGTGCCAAATATTCCCCCCGCGGTTGCAGTGCAAACTAAAAGTGTGACAGAGCGTCGACCAAACAGACTGCGACTTCACAATATTGGAAATGAAATTTGAAGTGCGAAATAGAAGCATTCAATCTCGCAGCAGCGATGATCATAACTACGCAGTTTCCTCTGGTTTAGAGCACACATTTGTTTATTCTACCGTTGAATATGGGCGTGACGCAAACTTCACATGAGCCAAATTTTCGGTCACAAAAAGTTGCTTTTTTACTTTAGCGAGACTAAAACGGCTTAAATTAGTGGAGTTGCATTTTTAGAGCTCACGACCACCGTTAGAAGCTGTTTTGCAGCCTGTAGTTTGCCAGGAGATGCTCGCCTACATGATGAATGGCTAAACTCTCCCAATACACGGCTCTGATGGTTGGGCATTTTGGGAGCCGCCAATTGGCCAAAATGTGCGTGCTGCTGTGACTTCGAATTAATTTTGCATACAAAAGCATTTACATTACACGCGTCATTCTGAAATATTCAATATTTTGAAATTCGTAGTACTGAAATATTTTTGCATTGAAGCTAATAGGCATTCCGAAGGGGACTTTTTAAATGTTCGTATATCTGAGTGGTTTGTTATAATGACGTTCGCAATAACGAGATACTCTAGTATAATTGCAGCTGACTGGCCCCGTTGAGTGCGCATCTCACCGAGCACCTGTGCAGAGGTGCTCGATGAGAAGCGCACTCAAAAGGGCTAAACCGCCACTATTAACACTTAGAAAAGTAAGAATATCGCAGTTCACATCAAAGCGAATATCAAATTGCATATTATACGAAACTAATATTCGAAAATTCGAACATTCGCACAACACTAATGTTAGGACAGCATGAGTTAGACTGTCACAGTGGAGCGACACTGTTACATACTGTAGATGAGAAATTTAACCAGTGAAGTATGACTGCAAGTTTGGAGACTTAACGAGCGTCGCGTCATGCAGCGGTGACACATGACGGCATGTTAGAACTGTACTCATCCAGATCGAAATTGCGGGGGGAAGCTAGAAATACGAGCAAGTATCCCTTAACGATGCTGGAAATTGCATGAGCCTGCTTACTTGACAAGAACGCATAAAGCCCGAAGCTGCACTTTTGGAGCTTCTGCTGCGCTCGCACTTAAAGTGAGATGGGTTACAATTGTGATGAGTAAAGATGAAGAGAAAAAAAAAAGAGCAGAAAGACGCACGCAAGGAAGGGCCAGACGTTCTTGGTTTCAGGATTCTTCCTACCTGGGTCACTGTTGTACTGGGTACTGTTACTGTGGCATGCTAGTGGCGTGCCACATTCACGTGCTACGTGCTCAGGAGAGTTGCCCAAGAGGTGCGTGCTTTGCGCTATCCAAGGAATAACCCGAGCAACATCAAGAACACTTTCCAAGGGTTTTATCATCATATCATCATCCAGAATTCAGCATCCAACAGCCATTGCATCAGTGCAGCCAACAAGTTTCCACACCAACTTCAAGTAATTTGCTGTTAGAGTCATTTCTCATTAATACGGACCCCGTTAATATGGATACCCTGCCATATGGACACCATTTTCAGGGATAAACTGTGAAATTATTTGCATTTTTGTCTCATTTTTCTGGACAATTTGCATTATGGACAATTTTTGGGGAAACGAAGGTGCCCATATTAACGAGACATCACTGTAGGACTCCACCTAGCTCACAGAATCACTGTAAACAACTTATTTTTTGCGGGCTCAATATTTCGCGATTTAGGTCAAAGCTAAATTTTTGAAATAATTCGCGGGCTCTAATTTTCGCGATGTCGTGGGATCTCAATATAGATTTCTATGTGTTTATATTTTACCGGAATTGTTTGCGGGACCTATTTTTTGCGAATTGTAGGAGAGTCACAAAATTCGCAAAAATGAGGTCCTTGCGAAAATAAAGTCATTTATAGTATTTACAGTTTTTTGTAATGCGAAATTAAAGTGCAGCTCTTGAGAGGGAGAAGGGGGGGTATGCCCCTCCTCCCCCTCCGTACCCTCCCTTCCTCCTTGCCTCCCATTTAGCCGGAAAATGTTTGCTAAATTTCCTCGCAAAATTTAGCAGGGAAATTATCCCATTAAATTCAGCGGGTTAAGTTTCGTCGCTATATTTAGCGGGAAAATTGATGTTATGTGACCTCAACACCAATTGAATTTCCTCGCTAAATATAGCGGGGAAACTGTGACGTCCCATAATGCAACGCGCATGGTTATGCTGACGGTGCCGCCACTCCTCAACCCGGAAACAAGCGCCTAAGAGCTGCGTTCTAAAAAGGACTTCTAGATTTCCGGAGAGACTGCAGCAGTCACTCGCTACTTAATACACAAGAACCTTGAGATTAGTTATAAAAGAACCAGAAAACTCACTCCGTGTGCCCCTGAAAGACGCTGACTGAGTGGATTGGCTCTCTGAAGTCCCAGAGCCGGAACGTGGTGTCCTTGGACGACGTCACCACCAGCCGCTGTGTCGGGTGGGCACTGGTGTGGGTCAGCTCCTGGTCGTGGCCTTGGTGAGGGCAGAGACAAAGGCTAGTTACATATGTCGAGAACTTTGGCTCCACTGTCTGTCATCTGTCGTATTAACTTTAATCATGTGGCAGAGATTTTCTTTTTTTCTACAGAGACACAGTATACCCCTTTGCCAAGCAACTGTTTGCAAATGGAGCATTTGCCCACACAGCTGTGGACCGTGCACATGCTCCACCACTGGCTATCTGCGAGAACTACAGACAATGCCACCGCTTCAATCTGACACCAAGACGAGCTGGCATGCATCGCATTGTTTCTGGCGAATGAGAGGTTCGCTGGGCAAGTTTAATTGCAGAGCATTGACTGTCACCTGCCATTTTAAAATGCAACTAAGAACTCTCATGCTCGTATACTGACGGCTGTTACCGTTCATCAGATGGCCCCAGAAGTGTGAGCCTGTCATGTTGAAAACAAAGTCCACAATCGTAATATCTGATACACAATGCCAACCACCCAGCAGCAAAAATTACTGTCTTACTGTCTGTCTCCATGAAACAAGCAGATTCACAGTCAAGAAATTGCAAAAAGGAGAACATCAATAGCCTCTCATCATGGTAATCGTGATGGCAAAGGTTGTCACCTTCTCATCGTGATTCTCACCTCGTCGGGTCCAATTTTAGTTAAACCTTCGCTATTTTGGTTTGAAATATCGGTGACACTATCAAAATTATGCAAACACCCCCAGGTGTAGCCTAGCACAGCATATTTTCTGGCAGGGATGGCCCCCAAGGCTTTAGGTAGGGTACAACCTCAAGAAGCCAAGGCAGAAGTGGCACCCACCCACAAGCTGGATGACCAGCTCTCCCTTCTCGACGTCGTACACATTGGCCGTGCGATCCCAGGAGGCGGTGATGACCTGGTCACCGCCCGACAGCCAGTCGGCAGCAATCACCACGCTGCTGTGGCCCGTCAGCTCTGTCAGAGGGCTCTTCATCACCAGCACATTGCTCGACGAGTCTACGTCTGAAAAGCAAGGCAAGCCTTAGCAAACGACCTCAACGCAGGATTATTATGTAGCTTTTTCCATTTCGCTCTCGTCGATTGCGGGCACTCCGAGCCTGCCAAGTCTTCTTTCTCCGAGTGCAGATGACACGTCGACTAATGTTGACGCCACCTAATTTTTTTAAATATTAGGAACAAAGCATTATTAAACTACAAATATTGTAGAATAAGGAATCTAACGGAAATAAGGCCCAATAAATCCTGAATCTTAAGCGAAACTCCAAAAAAATACCTTCCAAATTTCACAAAACCATTAACTCGTGAAACATGAAACCTCGACTAAAGGGAGTGACCGAGCCGGCGGCATTGCCTCGGTCTCCCGTTGTTCTGCGCTGCCAAGCGGAGTCGGCGCACATTTGATAGGCATAGAGAGTAAGGGATGTGGTGCCGGCGAGCTATGTTTTGACAAAGAGTGTATCGTGACACACATCTGTCAAAGGACAAGCTGCTCTAGTAATGGGACCAAAAGCATAGTGTGAAGTTATTATTTTATTTTAAATTTTTTGACGGACGTATGTGGATGCAACGACATGGTCTGCTCCGCAGAAGAAACTCTGTGTGCGTGGGTGCTTAAAACACATCAAATTACGAAGAAGAATAAAAAAGCGAGTTCTTTTTATAGCCTTCGAATGAGCAATGCTGACATAAGGACGCCTTTTCTGCCCTGAACAACCTTGACGGCGGGAGTACGATTGTTTTCATTGAATGTGTAGCTGAATCAAAATGCATGCAAGGAGACGTCGGCTGTCAATTGACGTTCACGTCGTTGCACATCGCAACTGCACACATCGCCGATCATGGCTCACTTCATGTATCTATAGCAATTAGTTTGGCAGGAATTTCACGTTTTTCTCGGAGAGGCAATAATGAACATTAATACTTTTATATTGACTAAGTTGGTGCCCACGATTAGCTCATTCCATGATGCCAGCAGTTTTGATGTCAGCCTTTCAGTCGGAAGTACTGGCAATCGCTTGTTAGTGCAAACTTTGCCACGCTCTCTGTAATACATACACTGCTCTCTAGTGTTGTGCAAATATTTGAATTTTCAAATAGTAGTTTTGAATAAACAACAGGAGGATGCTTAAGCTTCGCCTTTAAGATTAAAACGCGATAGCTAAATATAAACCCCCGCTCGTTCCCAAGCTGTGCGTGTCTGTGTGGCCTCGTCGGTAGCGTGCCAGGCTCACAACCGAAGAGTCATGGGTTGCCCGTCACGCCGCCGACGCCGGCTTTTCTGCGATACAAGCTCCTTAAAGCTATCACTTTGATACACTATTCAACATTCTTTCGAAATGAACTGCGATCCTGATGTTCATATTGTAAATTACCAAAGAAGCACCCACCTCATCCAAGTGCCCACTATTGACATTTCTTTGGGAATTCTGCAAATTATGTGTTAACCGACCGATTTGACTGGACAAGTGCCCATGTCTAGATTAACCCAGTTTTCCGTGGAAATGGGGTGGGCGGCCCCCTGTATTCTACAGTACTTTTCAAAGCGTTGATTGGGGTGAGTTAGCACCGCTGAGTGTGCTTCTTACCGAGCACTTGTGCACTGTGAAGAAGCAATAACCGCGGAGCTCGTGGGCTCCACGGGTATTGCTTCCCCAAAATGCACAAGTGCTCCGTGAGAAGCACACTCAATGGGGCTAATCGCGTAATGAAGAGTTATCGTTTTTTGTGCGAACGGTGCTGATATCAATCGCAATGAATAGTTAGCGCTGCCATTGTGATCGGTTAGAGTACCTATATATGCTCCGCTTAGCTGCCCTATGAAAAGTAACAGGTGGAAATCGAGCGAGAGCAGCGTGATACAAACCCTACAAAGTAGCATGCCTGCAAAGTTCGGAGACACCACATCCGGGAGATTTTCGAAACCGGGGTAGCAGTTTTTTTAAAAATAAATATTGACAATGAATTTACATGAAGACAACTGTTAGGCCTCGCTATCATTGCTCCGTCTGTTGCGATGACAAACACTCCTTTAAGTGCAAGTGAGAAAAGGGTGGTCGTGTAATTTGTGATTTTGGAAGATTTTCTTGTCAATCGCACCATCGTATAAAATGGTGAAAATTTGGGAGCCTCCCGGGTAATACGGGAGACTTGGCAGGTTTGAAGTAGCAAAAACACATTTTTACATCAAACACAGACCTAAGACGCCATCGGTACTTTTAATAGCTTAACTGAGACATCTGAAAAATTACTGGCATATGATTGTTCAATAACTAAATAAATATCTGTAGCGGCCAGGTCTCCTGTAGGTATGACACTTTAAATAGTCTCCTAACACTCCAACAACAGTAGTTTTTGTTTTCCACGTGCTAATTTTCAAAAGATATCATATAAATTTTCTGACATGAAAACTCAAAATTGCCCCGTCTAAAAGTGAAAATTTCTGCACCAAAACCCGTTTTTCCCTGTTACAAGAGCTGCACCACATCATCACTCGTCAGTTCCACCATTGATCCTAGAATGAAGCGATACTACCATTATTCGGGCTGATAAACCTGGCGATCTCGCAGAGCTTTCTGTACTCGCAAGTTCCTCTCCCTCAGAGCACACAGGTGGTCGAGCTCCTCCTCGCCTACCCTCCTGGTCACATGACCACTCTGTTAACCAATCAACGTCGAGCACCTCACTCCTCTTCTCCCACCCATCAACCAATCAGTGTCGAGCCTCGCGACCACGCTTTTATCCAGGCTTCACAAAATGCCGAGCGCCTAGTCAAAGAACGTTTCATGTTAAAATGCCACCCACAACTATACACAAGCTCCACACAAGTCGAGCGACACTCAGTCTTGTAAGGTTTCACTGCAAACCCATATAACCTCACACTGGGCGAGTTCCCCCCTTCCCCCCCCCCCCTTATCTGTACTACTGCGGAACAAATTTTGGTATTTCCGGAAAGGCACATCTGTCATACAACTTGCGATACCTAGCTTGCTTTGACGCATTCTCGAATCTCAATGTGGCAGCTGCTTCCAGAGTCCCTACAAAACCAATCTGCTTGCCACTAGGGGCACCCTGATCAGTGCTTGAGTTACATCCACTCTGTTTCTGCAGTGCAGTAGTGAGCAATGCGTAGCGTGTATAGTGGCTATAAATACACAGTTAAACAAGCATCATTTATTGCACAAGCAGAGAACAATCTATCAGTGGCATAAATCTCTATGAATAATAACTTAGACCACCAAACTTCAAAACAAACAGCAAAATGTAGAAGACATAGTTATAACCAGACTAATAAAATTAGACACACTTTAAAGACTAAGGAAGGTGAACCATATTTCTCTCTCAGATAAGCAGACAATTTTTATAAAATATAGAGGATAGTACCCAATCATTTTGTACATGCTCTTCATGTATGTAATTTGAAACTAACATTCTAACGGAAGGTAAATGGGGAGTGTCGTAAACGTTTCACTGACCATCTTCTTTCTCGGAGAGATCAACTTCATCTTCTGACGAGTGGCCCTTCTGAAACACACAAAATAGCCAACATTTTTAGAAGGTAATAAACAAATAATGGAAATGAACGTTCTCTCCACTCTGTTCCACTGGAAAACATACTCAACTTTGGCTTAAAGGGGCCCTGCAATGAATTTTTTACAGGTTTTTAATTTGCACCGAGCCTGAGCGCACTAGACATAGTAACTTAATGAAACTTTTTTTTCTTTCGAATTTCGCCTTATTTTAGAAGTTATAGGCAAATTAAAATTACAAAAACAAGCAAAAAATAACCTCCTTCATGACGTCTTTGGCCACTTGAGTGGCCGTGAACTAAAAGACGGGTAGTGAGCTCAGCGAGGGCCCACGGCTGCCGCACCCCGTGTTGACAGCTTGAGAGGGCAAAACTAAAGCATGTTCTGGATAGGCTGCATGAAGCGGGCAGCCAGGGTGGCTCGCATTGCATTTTCTGCGCGATTAAACACTAATTTGGCATGACACTTCATTGGCCACAAACGAGAGCAAACACGGGGTAAAGATCAGTTCAGAACGGGAGCCATTTCGTGCTGCCATACCACGAAACGGCCAAACAGCAAGCCAAACCTGCGCCGAAGGCCTTCGGAATGCTCGAAATCGGTCGAATCTTCGAGTTCGTAAACGACCGCAGCACCGCCGCATACATATGGGACCTTCCTAACGCTCGCCGCCTGTTGGAGCCTGATCCCACTATTCCTTTCTAGTATGTGCCGCCTTTTTTACCGCTTGGTGGCGGGTATGTCAACGGGTCATTTATGGTTTCCGGACTTTATAAACTGCATTTGTTTCTTTTCTGATCTAAAATACTGAACAAAAACTACTTTCATAAATAATTGAAACCGTGCGTGCCTCTTATATTTTGTATTTCGACTAAAAAGAAGCTTTTAGCGACTCTGACTACAAGTAAGCCCAGGACCGAATACCTCACATTTTGCGCGCTTTCGGTACCGCGGGTCACCGCCGTAGGTGGAGGAGGTTTTTGCGTCGTCCGGTTAACATATGACGCACTGATATTTAGTTACTCTCTCAGTGCCCGCTGGGTTGCCCGAATCCCAAGAGACGTGGAAACCGCAAAGAAGGTAGACGCTTAAATATGATTGCAGGGCCCCTTTAAAGGAGAACTAAGGTGGAGTTTGAGATCCTATTTTTATGGCGCAAGCTCTATCAATGTGCCCTAAGCATCTTAGAAAATTGCAATTACGACCATTGCTGGCCTATCAAAAATGTGACCAAAAATTTTGACATGCACTTTTTCTTCAATATAACTCGGCAAAGGGGCAAAAGACTATTTTTGACTGCAATTTTATTAAAAAAAAGGCCACTTATGATCTTGTTTTTTTTTCTAGGATGCTTTGGGTGTGTGTTGACTTGGCACCCTAAAAGATGGCTCTCAAAATCCATTTGAAAAAATTTTAATTTCTAGAATTTGTAGCATGGATTTACATTTTTCTTGCATAGCATGCAAGAAACCAAGGAAGGAGAAGTTTATTTGTAGGCGTGAGAGCTAACATAACATTCATTGTCATGGTCATTTCTCCAGTGGCATTCAACTTGGTTCAAGTAGTGCTCATTGGTTCACTGATAAACATACAAAAATGTGTCAAGATTCTGTAAAACGGCTATGACGATGCCAGAAATATTTCTTAAATAAGTAATAACTGCCTTATAAAAAAATCTGGTAGTCCTGTGTTACAAGGTACAGTCACTGCAATAGCTGTGACAAGTCACGGCGAAGTCGTTGGACATTGGCGTTGCACTCATGCACCCTCGGGTGCATGAACAAAAGCATTCAAAACAAAACGGAGAGCATGAAAGCATGTCTCCTGGCACGAGCTCTTGGCATTGATATAGTACTACAACAACATTTTGTTATCGGCTCTTTTTTTTTTTCCAGAAAGCGCATGCAGTAGGCATCGGGTACCACAAAAAACTTATGTATAAAATGGGTTGCTAACGCTGTGGTGTAGCTCTGTGGTGATGCCCCCGCTTCGCATGCAGCAGACCTAGATTCGATTTACGTGGGCGGCAGGCAATCATTTCAAGTACTTGGCAGCATTGGCGACGGATGCCCTACTACACCAACTACAACCTCAATAACGACTACAACTGCTGCTACCACAACATCAACAACGGACATCATTTCCAGAGGTGGGAGGAGCCCATAACAGCTGTTGCTGCAAAAGCCATAGGTAGAACTACTTATGTTATTCCTAAAGCCAGCTGCATACACAGATGCAGCAAGAGCAGCAATGCGCAGCAAAAACTGGAAAACTGCACAAGCCGAGTAACAACGCAGGTGGAATGAGGTAGGGTTGGACAAAGGCAAAGTCAACAGAACAGCTGCACTCGAGCTAAAATTAGAGCAGCTCAAGTAAGGAGCCCACCACACAAAGACATTAAGAGGCTCTGCAAGGATATTGGGTAGAAATGTTTCTAATTTTACAGAAGCTTATTGGCACTAGTGGGACCCAAGTATACTAGCATGCAACGCCACTGACCAAGAAGCTTCTTTGCTGCCGCGTAATTTCAAAGATAAAAGCAGACGTTTCTTTCAATCTCTCCTTTGCAAAACTTGATGATGAAGTTGTTGGGAATGTATTGTTAGCATTGTCAACACTGCAATCCCCAGGATTTTGTCCTCAAGCTTTGCAATCCCTGTGATGACGATATTTGAATGCAACTCGTACAGTGAACATGAGCACTGTAACCATTCGATTGGGGCTCATAACAATCAGTGCTTTGACATGTATTTGAGTAGTGGCTCGTGTACAATCACGCGATGGCGGGAATAGCCAAATGTTAATGATCTGTGGAACTCAATGCGTGCCCTGTGCTTTCCCAAGCACAGCGTATGGCTATAATAAACATCACCAGCACATAATCAGCTCAAGATCACATGGTTGCTTGTTCTGGCTGTGAGTTGAGAGAGTGAACGCTGCTTGTTTTTCCAAAAACTCCTGTTGTGACCGACATTGATAGGAGGAAAACACTAATGTACATTTCAGAGGCTATGAATGTCAAGTAACAATTATAGCAGTATTTACTTAACTTTTTGACGGTCGAGTTTTTTTTCCCCAAAAGATGTTTCTTAGTGGCCGGGTTTTGTTTGCAAAGGAACAATATACAAAAAAAGGTTAATGCACAGGCTTTTTTTTTAAGCGTTGGAAGTCTGAATTGAAAGAGCCAGCACTCCCATTGGCACCACTGCCAGAGCGGACGGCATGCGAAGTGAGCATCACGAGCGCAGACCATCTGATTTGACAACTATAAATAGCCCAGCAAAGTGAAACACTGTGTATATATAATGTTTAAAGTTCTCTGAAGACAACAAATAGCAATACCTCCCACAGTGCGTGTAGTTTTGCGTCTTAAATGTCTAATCACCACCATACATGTATGGCGGCGACTGTCAAAAAGGTTGCATCGCCCCTTTAAAGCTAGCAACCAGTTCGAAACATTTAAGAAAGGTGATGCAGATGATTACGCACAAGAGTATTTATTAAACATTAAAGCACCTCAAACACATAAGCAGGCTTTCTCAAGCTATTGCAATAACACTATCTCAAGCAACAGCATTGTGGGATCTCAACTGAAACTTCCTTAGGACAGGTTAATTTCAGCCTTAGATTAACCTTTCTATGACATTTGGGGTGTGGACAAAGGCTAGCCCCTCAGTTGTTTTTATAAATTTGGTAACTTCAAAAACAAAATTACTTTCATTGTAAGCATAAAAAATCCTGAAATGGAAGCTGGGAGTTAGAAACCAGATGACCCCTTTTTTTGTGTGTGATCGATCATCTTGTCATAACAATGTAACATATGATGTTATAAAGCAGCTTTATTGGTTGCAGCATTTTTGTTTGACATTTTCCTCTTTTGCTTCCACTTGGGCTAATGGGACCCCTTTGTATTTGGATTCTGGCAATCATGATTAAGATTATTCTGTGCCAAGAGGCATTTCTTTCCCTCATGTGTTTTGATAGGTGGCAGGCCAGTCAGGAAAGAGGAATGGGAGGTTGAGGAAGAAAGTGAATTTGAGCCTCATAAATGCACTCTTTACGAAAACTAGCATGTGTAAAAAACGTTTGGAGGGTGCACACAATGGTAAACTAATGAACAATAGTTAAGCCGAATTGAATGCCAACTGGAGAGATAGATGACCATGACGATGAATGTTATAATTTTGTTAGCTGTCAGAAGTCAGCACCTTTATTTGCCAGCATGCCAAGAATTATTTTTATAATTTTTATAACCCTCAGAACTAATATGCACATTCATGGACACTTTTCTTTTGCCCAAAGAAACCAAACTTGATATACAGTCGAACCTCAATAAAATGAACTTCAATGTAACGAAATCCTCGATTTAACGAAGTATTTTATTTTTCATAATTTTTTGCCCATAGACCCCATGTATTTTTAGTCTCTATATAACGAAGTCCATTGTGCTGCTATTTCAATATAACGAAGCGCCATTGCCATAGAAAACAATAAATAAAAAGACTCTAAAAAACAACTTCGCAAAAAAAGTTGTGGTTAAAAAAAAAATTATGCGCGAACGCGAGCGCTTTGAAACTTTACTTCACGGGGACAGGCCTTCCAACGTTCCTAGGCTGCCCGAGGATGCGGCGCCGGTAGCGCCGGCGAGGCATGCGGCAAAGCGGATTCCGCGGGGCTGGCCAGAAAATGCCGAGCAAAAAGTTTACACGGCATAACAGCATCACCACTGACATTCACTGATCATCATAGTCCACTGTACCGCGGGTAGCGCGGGAGCCAACTTCAGCGGGGGAGCGACGTGATGGCGCGACCGCACGGGCAGTGCCATCTAGGAGAAGACCGATTATCGTCTTGCGACCGTGACCGTGATGTAACGCAAAGGCGCAAGCACACTGTGGGCGCAAGGGGGCAAGTAAACTGTGCGGGCAAGAGTGCTGTGTAGGTTGGAAACATTGGCACCGCCTAAACTAAACAGCTTTATTTTTCAACCGGGCGGTGCACTCACGTGCTTGCTGGCATAAGGAAACGTAAAGTTCTTTTCTTTGGATGAGAAAGCAAACGTTTTGGACGCCATCCTGAAGAAAGTACTGTGATCACGAGCACTCGGGAAGTGCTCGACGCAATGGACGTACTGAGGGGGTACACGGCGTCGCATAGGCAGCAAGATGCCGTGCAAGCGCTTTGGGCACTCGAACGCCGTATGACGCCGCTGCTACTGTTGTAAAGGCGCAAGCAAAACTCACGGATTACTTTGCCCCAAAATAAATGTCATTTTCGGTGAGTTTTCATACCCGTAAAATGTTTCGGAATTTGTTTTTTTTTTTTGCATGCTAAAGCCAAATTTCGATTTAGCGAAATTTCAATGTAACGAAGTGAATTGCGAATTTTACCGACTTCGTTACATCGAGGTTTAACTATAACTATTTTTTCACACAAGACCTCGACAAGATGTCAATTGAACTGTGTCAGTCACTTGTCACTTTTCTTGCCACCTTTATTGTTGGCAGGGAAGAGGATAATCACGTTAGCTCTCAGCAGTCAGCACCTTCACATACACTGCGTCTTGGTTTGTCTCACCGCAAATGCTTGCGTGCTATGCGCAAAGAATGTCTGACACATTGTTTATTCATTTAGTAACATGTAAACAAAGCTTTATTGTTGTTACAAGCTTTATGAAAGCAAAGTGTTTATTCTGACTGAGGCCAAAGTAACCAATTGTTTCATGGACCCCTGAATCAGCCTCAAATAGGTTCATTATTAACTGTATTTTTCATGTTCAAGAGTTCAAGACACACAAGGCAACCAACTGTAGGAATTAGGAAACCTTGACAGTGAGGGCACCAAAGGGTTTAGTCCTGCTCTGGCATTAAACATACTTTAGAAAGAACCGCGAGAAGAAAGCAGCGCTTGGCGTGACACCGTATTTACTCGAGTAATAGCCACACTGTTTATGAAGAAAACCTGAGGGTTTGCTTTTTCCGTGGAGCACGCGGATTTCCAATCACCGCAAACGACAGCATGATTCCAGCTGTTTAAAGGACAGAGATAACGTCTTTGCACGAAGATACCATCTATGAAGGTTGCATTTGTATGGAGACTCGTGTTCGTGCTCTAGTCATTTGCTATGTTATTTATGTGCAACGTGATGATTGGGTGTATATGTGCTTTGTGGGAAAGTAGACACAAGGGCCTTGTTTATAAATAGTGCGGCTATTACTTAAGTAAATACGGTACTTTCGCCGAAGTGGAGGGTGTGCCTCACCACCAGCTCGAGGGCCGAGGCTGCCGAAGTGGCCGCCCTCCAGACGTGGGCGCTCTGATCCCCCGAGCCGGTCACAAGCAGGTCCTGCGTCGGGTGGAAGCGCACCGAGTTCACCGAGCCCGCGTGACCCGCATACTGTAGGATGCACTGGCCAGTCTGGATGTCCCACAGCCTCGCAGTGTGATCTGTAAGGTAAGGCAGCATTAGTCAAGACAGCAAGGTATTGAGCTGGGCTAGTTGCCACATAACCTAAACAAAACAATGCTAAAATAGATGAAGAACACAAGGAGTGGAGCACGCACCAGGTACTGGCCCAATATTGATAGCTGACGGTAAGTACTTGGTGTTACTACCAGACAACTACACGTTACCCCAAAAAAAGTAAGTAAATACCGTTATTCGTTACTCGCTCAAAAAGTAGCTACATAAGTTACTCGTTACCGATTCTCAAAAGGAAAGCGTAACTTTACCTCAGACGTAACGAGGTATTTTTCTTTTTTACTTTGACGACCCAGAACTGCTTTTGTTTCCTGGTTTATGCGGAGGGCAAGTTCGTCTGCTTCTCGCGCAGGGGGTAGCGGTGACGTCAGAACGCCGAGCCCTGATTGGCTGATCGCGCCCCCCTATCTGAGCGTCGTCTGCTCCTTTGCAACGTCGTCTGCTCGCAACGTCGTCTGCGTCTGTCTTACCTTTCCTGCGACTTTCGGGAGTGCAGAGGCCAGATTCACGAAACGACCTTACGCCAAAAAATGTGCGTAAGACAAAACTTAAGAACAAATTCGTATTCACGAAACGAAATTTTCGTAAGTTTTGCGCAGGTTACGACGAAATCTTACGGCAGCTCCGAAGCTGTCTTACGCACTTCTTACGATCAAATCAGCATGGCCGACGGGAGGCACTCACTTGATCGAATGACGTTTTAGCGAACGCCCACGTTTCATCGAATGACACTTTAGCGAAGAGTCGGACGCTGCGAACCGGCGTTTTCGGGTGGGCCAAGTGAGTTCATATTTTTGTAATGAGTTGCCGCAGACTGTCGCCGCGAAGCGGCGTAAAGCGCAGCGCGACGGATGGGTTAACGCGCGCCCCCGTTATTCGCTAAAACGACCATTCGCTCAAATGTCGCCGTTCGCTAAAATGTCATTCGCTCTTGTGATATGGACCCAAGCAGGAAGAAAAAAATTAAGAAGTACTTGAAACAGACGACGACGAACAAGAACGCTGGATCCACAAACACCCGGGAAAAGCTCCAACGGCCTCGATTCCACCGAACGCGACCAAACGAGCTGGGCAGTTAGGCCTAGCAGGCGCTCCGCGACTCGGCGACCGTCTGCCCACGACCGGCTGGCGTGCTGAATGGAATATGCCCGCACGACCCTTGTGAACCCTTCCCGTATTATACTTTGATCGCTGACCTCAATTTTAGATCAAGAAGTCAATTTCTTCCTCTTGCTATCTCCTTGCTTCCCGAGGCAACGGTGATTCTCGCCGGTGAAAAAGCGGTGAATCTCCGACAGACGCAGGAAAGGTAAAGCAGTCATCGCTTTGACTAGCAGACGTAAAGCAGACGACATTAACTGCGCCAACCCGCCGACGGCGTTAAAGAGTGAGGGGTTTCGCCGCACAGGAATGGAGGGAAAAAGTATTTGGAAGGGAACTTGCGGACACTAACACGCTCACTCTCGGTTCTAAGCAAACAAACCTCGGCGCCCCGGGACACCTCGCCAGTGAGTCCTTTGACTTCCCTCCTTAATGCGCGTCTGCTAGTTTTAGACAAAAACAACGTACCGTCCGAGTTATTTCATCTGCCCTCTCTTAAAGGCGAAGTCGAGTTCGCTCCGAAAATCGCAGGAAAGGTAAGACAGGCGCAGACGACGTTGCGAGCAGACGACGTTGCAAAGGAGCAGACGACGCTGAGATAGGGGTTCGCGATCAGCCAATCAGGGCTCGGCGTTCTGACGTCACCGCTACTTCCTTTCTCATGCGCAGAAGACGAAAATGAGCCCACTTGCGAGGCGTATCGTTTTCTTTCTCATAGTCGTGGCACTTAGGCAGTGGCGGCCTCTCAAAATTTTCTTCAGTTACGTTTCCCCGCTTCCTTGAGAGCACGTCTCCGGTGACGCTAAAGAGTCGTTCTACTGACACGCTCGAAGGAAAGGCAGTGTGGTGCTTCAGGAAGAGTTGATGAATCTTCGGGAACTGAACCTTCATTGTGAACAGGGGGTACCCACCTGAACCCAAGAAAAACCGTTAAATAAAAATAACACAGTTGTTTTGTTCTGTTGGTTTACCCCCTCGATGTCCCCTGGAGTATGCCCTAGCCTGGGATTCCCTCTTTCTTTTGTTCTCTCTGCTTCTAGAATTTGAAATTGACAATAGATTCTATGCATTCCCACGTTGGCAACCTGCGAATTTACATTCTGTCTGTGCACGATTCTAGAAGGTTCAACCAACAAACCTCACTGTGTTCGCGAGGTGAAGGACATCCCCGGCTGCAGAGTTCTACTGACGTGTTCAGCAATAAACGTTGCAATACTGTCATATTGTTTAGTTGTGTTTCGGTTTGCCTATCTGCCTTTGTCGCGATAGGCGCATGCTCAGGTTAGAATTAAAATGAGGCTGCTTAATGAGTGTTGTACATGTTACTCCTCAAAAGTAATGAAATACCGTTACTCATTACTTCGCCGTAAAATTAACTAAATACGTTACTCTTTCCTTTTTAGAACATTAAATACGCTACTCATTACCAAATTAAGTACCCAGCTATAACTAACCCGTTGCTAGTAATGCATTACATACATGTCTGGTTGGTACTCTGTTCCTTGCATCCGTAGTTTATTCTAGTGCTGTTTTGCCTTTTTTAAATGAGAACATTACACAGCACTAAAGGGCTGGTCCTCCCCTATATTTTGCATATTGAATTAATGACAAAACTCGATTTCATGTAGCCCTGTTAGATCCTGTTGTAAATTCTATGACAGAGGTCTGGTCCTCGTCATATTAGAAAGGTGTTTAACTACCATATGGTATTTGTACCATCATTCAAATATGCTAAATACCTAGAACATGCAGGCACATAATCATTGTACCTTGACTTCTGCTTACGGTATATGTTCTTTTTTATTTAAGGCCCATTTTTCAGTTGTCTTCCACCTTTTTGCATAAATGACGTTGAGAATTATATCTGCATTCGCTCGCTCATTCTTGTCACCATGTCCGTCTTGCTTCTTTTTTGTGATCCTCCCACTCACATTTGCTTCTTACTTGGAAACTGCGGTAAGAACTGGCATTGCCCGTCGAGCCATGCCAAGTTTTCATTTCAAAGAGATGCATTTTTAAAATACAATTACACAAGTAATTTTTTTTTCTTTTGAAGGGGGTAATTTTACAGCAATTAAAAATCCCATTCCAAACACAAATCATCCTCAGCCTCAAATTATCTGCCATTTCATTTTATTTTTAATTAATTTTTCTCACATGACCCTAAAGCATTACAGAGTGGACACTGTAACATAAACATAAAAGTAAGAAAAAAAAGGCAAAAATGCAAAATTAGTACGAAACATAATTTAGCAAATTAGTAATTGCAATTCTAAAATCAGCGGTGCTAGTAATTAAAACTATGACTGCAGGAAGGCAATTCGAATCAATTGAGATTTGAGCAAAGAAGGAGGGCATTAAAAGTAGATGTGCTGCAATGGAGGATCCTAACTTTTATACTCACGAACAACTTTCTGTGGCTATGCAGCCAATTGCTAGGGGAGAGAGTGCGCCCGCTGCTTGGACTGCGCTTTCCTCCTCTCTTCAGATTGCCAGAGAAAGTTGCTCCCGAGTGTAGTTGATGATTGGTGCATGATGATATGTAAGAAGATTCTGAAAACAGTGCTTGGCCAAGTGTACTGTTATCCGCACCTAACATTATTGAGATAAGCATACCACTTACAATGTTAACACAGGCGTTTCCTCTCCCAACATTCTTGTACTCTTAATTTTTGCAAAATCCAAGCTGAAGTCACGGTCACTGCTAAGGGCATCACAGCCACACCAGTCAGAGTTAAGACTTTATGTCATAGAGAGTCTGCTAAGGCTGTTAAGTTCCTGGAGAGGTTAATTCATGTTTCCATAGATGGTACTTCTCTTCTGTGCACTTTCCTGTACCAGTGAGCAGATGCTACGGTTCAAGTATTTTATGCAGACCTTCCTTGAAATACGTCCTCAGTTTTGCTTTAACACGTATTAGAGACTCAGTCTTTCCCCTTTAGTGCATTTTTGTACTAGGTACAGTTTCTTTCAGGAAATAAGAATTGCTCGTGTACTTATACGTAATTGAGTGCTTTACTGCAAAGGCAATGGGCACTTCGCAAGCCGAGTGCTAGCTCACCTGCAAAATGAATGGAGCCCAAATGTCAGAGCCAGCTCACCTGCAGACGCAGTTGCAATGACCAGGATGCCCGTGCGTGCAGTGCTAACTTCCCAGACGCCGTCTCGATGCCCGGAGTAGTTCATCGCAAGTTGGCAGCCAAGGGTCGATGTCTTGAAACTTGACACAATGCGACTGGTGGAGGCCTTCAGCTTGTACGTGCTTTTGATCTTCTGAGACAACTGGCTCGCTGGAAAGTCAGAACAAAAGGGACGAAATCAGGAAACGCAAACTAATGTGCATAGCTGAATGTGCAATAGACCAATCTGACTAAGCATTCGGCGCAGGCGTGACGCCGCCATTACTTTAGTTCATAGGAGGCAGACGGCACTGCAAAAGAGGGCTCGTGCCGTCTTGTGCTCTACACGCGCAGAGCTCCAGGAGGTTGTCGCACGTCTCGAAAGACAAAACTTCTCTCGATGCATTGCGGCAGCGGTGGTATAGTCAAACTGGCTGGTAATATCTGTCTATTAGGGAAATTTCTCGAAAGGATGGTCCCAGGTTTAGATAAACGGAATAAAGAAAGCAATAGTGTATGTAGACTGAAATCAACACCACATAATCTCCATACGGGCTAAATGTATCAAGCAAACAATAAACACTTAAAAAAAAGGCTATTAGAAATACAAAAGCCCAAACAAAATTTGCCATTTCTGTAGTTCTTTATTTTATGTGTAACCATCTCCCAAAACTCATACTAAATGGGATACTGTAATTAAATGAGAAATAAGACAGCAAGTTTAAAATTAAGCCCAATGCGAGCATTATTCACCATCATTCATTGCAAACTGAATTTTTAAGGCATTTCTCGTTTTAAATACCAAAACTTTGGCACTTAAAATACAGTGAACAAAACATGAGATTCAGAGATTCACCCAGGATTCTCACTCTGCAGGGGTCTTATAATAAATGGCTCTGGGGCACTGTGTGTGCTTTAAGTTTTTGTGCTCTGCATAGGAAAGTCGGAGGAAGGTGTCAGACTGAACCTGGGAGGGTTGGGGTATGTGCCAGAGGTCAGCATTTTTGGTTGAACTCACTCACAGCTAGCTCAAAATGAAAAGTTAAAAACTTATTCACCCTCACGGCCACTCTCACCTTCAAGCCCTCACTAACAAACTCACCAAAATCATGACCTCACCAATGTGCCATCGTTCTTAATGATATATTTTCACGCAATTTTTCCGTAACTACAGACGTCCCATTGCCTAATGTAAACTCATGTGATTACCTTGCAATGTTTCCTGTTATTATTGATCCCAGTGGTGTTGAAAGCGTAATTAGATCACTCAAACAATCTTCTGCCCCTGGTTGCGATTTAATTGACCCAAAATTTTTAAAAAGTACCAGTGTTTATTCTTCTATCATTTTATCAAAAGTTTTCCAACAGTCCCTTGACGATGGTTATCTCCCTGCTGAGTGGAAGGTGGGAAAGGTTGTTCCACTCCACAAATCAGGTAACAAGAATTCTCCCCTTAATTATCGACCCATTTCGCTCACAAGCATCCCGTGTAAAATTTTTGAGCACATTCTGTTTTCTAACCTCGCTAACTTTCTTGAATCGAACTCATTTTTCACACCTTCACAACACGGCTTCCGTAAAACTTATTCGTGCGAAACTCAATTGGTATCTTTCACTCATAAACTAAACGCCATTCTTGACCGATCATCACTCGCCGACTGCATATTTTTAGACTTTTCGAAAGCATTTGATAAGGTGTGTCATAAGCTTTTACTTCTTAAATTAAGTCAGCTTAATCTCTATCCCAAACTTCTTATATGGCTCGAATACTTCCTCATTAACCGTTCTCAGTTCGTTTCAGCTAACAGCCTCACTTCTCCCCCAAGTGGCGTCCACTCCGGCGTGCCCCAAGGCTCTGTGCTTGGCCCTCTCCTTTTTCTTATCTACATTAATGACCTCTCTTCTTGTGTTTCTTCCCATATTCATTTGTTTGCAGATGACTGTGTAATTTTCCGGGAAATTTTATGTGATAACGATATAACCACTCTTCAATCTGACCTTAACGCCATCTCTGTATGGTGCAAAACATGGTGCATGGAACTAAACATTAACAAATGTAAACTTATGCGTGTCTCTAGAAAAAATATTAACTCGCCCGTCTACTCTCTTAATAATGTGCCTTTGGACGCCGTATCTTCTTATAAATACCTTGGTGTCCACATTTCATCTAACCTAACTTGGAGCGTTCACACCTCGTACGTCATTAATAACGCTAACCGCATGCTGGGTTATCTTCGACGTAACTTTGCTAAAGCACCTTCATCCCTAAAACTACTACTCTACAAGGTCCTCATTCGCTCTAAACTCGAATATTCCGTTTCGGTTTGGGATCCAAGCCACGAAAACTTGATACACTCACTTGAAATGGTTCAAAATAATTCTGTTCGTTTCATATTGTCTAACTATAATAGAACTGCAAGCATCAGTACAATGAAATCTAACCTTGATCTGCCATCCCTAACATCCCGCCGCAAAATCTCTCGTCTTTGTCTCTTTCACAAACTGTTTCTTCATCCCTTCTTGCGCGCCGAACATATTTTACCCCCCCAATACATCTCATCTAGATTAGATCATGTTCATAAAGTCGGGATTCCATCGTGTAGAACTAATGCTTTTTTTCAGTCATTCTTTCCTCGCACATCAGTGGAGTGGAATGGCCTTCCCGCCCCGACAGCAACAATCAAAGATCCCCAGCAGTTCAAGAACGCCATAGCTAACATTGTATAAATAAGAGTCAATTTACTGTACTAATAACCACTGCATTTTTTAACTTTATACTTATACATTGTACCCACTCCCCTCTCTAATGCCTTTGGCCCTGAGGGTATCTGAAATAAATAATAAATAAATAAACTCACACCCCTCATTGAACATATAAAGTCACCAAACTAAAAAACTCACACCACTCACCAAACTCACCTAACTCACAAACTCATGCCCCTCATTGAACTCATGAACTCACCAACTCACCGACCTCACTCTCTCAGAAATAGTTCTCGCCCTCACCATAGTTGCGGTGTTGGCGCTCATGTTGCAAAGGGGTTGCGCGGCTTTTACAACTCTGCCATGGTCACTGCCTTCTTCTGCCTCTCCGGCGCCAGCTGTCACATTGCCATGTGAAGAAATGTTTTGTACGTCTTTTTGTTTGTTTCGCTTTGACTCCTTCGGCACGCAGGCCCAGCACTTGAGGAAGGCATGCTTTGTTGGGATACAAGGGTGCGTCATCAGGAGTCTTGTGAAGAAGTATTCTTTATGGTGTGCACTGTTCGTTTCAAGCATTTGCGATAACACTGTGTAAGAATGAAGTGAGCGTCTGCATCGCTGTACATTCAAGTGTGAATTATTATCATTTCAACACGCACCACTGTGGGTGTGTATTTTGTTTCCGCATACAATATTGCAAACTTCTCCTTAATGATACACTCTAAAAAAATGGGGGTGTAGACGTTACACCCCTTGTCACATATACGACACCCCAAAACTTCAGTTGGATGTACAGCGCACTGATGTTGTACCGACGCTACCAAATTTCACGAGCTGCATGATAGCCGAGTTGGGCAACTCATTAAAATAGTTAATGTAATTGGGACTGACTGCAAAAAAAGTTATGGAGGTTTTCTAAACTCAACTGGAAAACTAGTGTGTTTTTTTCCTGTAGACTTTGGTACGTACTTTAGATGTTTAATATGTTATATCACACCGTCATCAACCCTCTCGCAAAAGTTGGGGCAGCCAGTTCGACGTCAGCGCGCCGTACGTCCAACTGAAGTTTTGGGGTGTCGTATATGTGACAAGGGGTGTAACGCCTACACCCCCTTTTTTTTAGAGTGTAGGACGGCTTAAATGACAATTCATTGACGAGAAGAACTATTTCGGAAAGGTCTGTCTTCATATTTACCATCGTTCACACAAATTATTTCACCTGAAATAACTGCCTGGTGGATATTTTTTTTTTTCTGGAAGAAAGAAGATTGAAGAACTTTCTGCACGCCATATTATTGTGTTTTCTTTTATTGCTTCTCGTTTTGAGATGCACCGCACATACCAACTAAAACTGGAAGACTATAATCTACCGACTTCGCCTCGTAAAGAGCCCGTCCACAAACTTGCAACCCAATAGGGTCGGCTGAGAGAAGACCCGTTTTTAAGCCCCTTGCGACGACTTAGGACCTGCTCCGCTGCAGCGCATCCGGCCCTACGCGTGGCAAGAGGCTTAAACCAGATCGAGAACACGATTCTCCATACAAATGCAATCTTCACAGATGGTATCTTTGCGCGAAGACGTTATCTTTGCCCTGTAAACCGCTGAAATCATGCTGTCGATCGCGGTGATTGGCAAGCTGCGTGCTCCGCGGAAAAACGAACCCTCAGGTTTTCTTCATAAACAGTGCGGCTATTACTCGAGTAAATACGGATACGGTAAATATTCTTGCAATACCGAAGTATCCTTTCTAAATTTCAAATCAGAAAAAAGTACTGCCAGGATATCGCAGTCTATCATACAGACGACTGCAAGCAAGGCCACTGGCCGCCGCCGTGCTCCTGCGGACAAGTCCGTGCGATTTCTAACTCATTGTAGCTATGCTCACGCGCAAGCTGCATGTGCTTGTACTTGTGGAGCACCAGCTGGGGCGCCATGCTTGCAATTGTCTATATGGATGCCGAAGTTGTATTAAAAATAGTGTCGAGTCTTGCTCTGGAGGAGTGCTTCCCCCTTAAAACGAGGGTGCACTGCGGTGAAGCGCAAGACACGCAAAATCGCGATGCCTACACCGCGGTTGTCGTTTCTCTGCAGTACACCAGTGCGTGGTAAAAAAGCGCACTCAACGAAGCTAATCCACCCGCCGGAACGGACCACGATCATGATAATTATTACGAAACTGGCGAGCACTGTCAGTCTTTGACACGAAATTCAATAAAATAGCGCATTATTTGCGGCGACAGTCAAAAGATCTAAAAATTCCCATAAGCCCATCGTAACGATCCGGCCGGGTAGCGAGGCCCGAGCTATTAGATGTTCAATATTGTTAAAGTGAAATCAAGTTTTGACGCAATGTCGGCGCAAATTCCTCACAATTTGGTAAAATGTAGCAGGATGTAGCAGTGTAGGTACTTTGGAATAACAATCACAGCACTGGCATGCTAACGCTCATTTAGTTTTAATTTAAACC